ATGGAACTTCATCTCAAGACTTATGGTGGTAGACTCTATTTCTAAACTATTGATGATTTTCTGTAACAATTCCGCTGCAGTTATGTATTCAAGGAACAACAAGAGTTCAAGAAAATCTAGACATATAGATATTAAATACCTTGTTGTAAAAGAGAGGATTCAGAACCAGCTTGTGTTTATTGAGCATATTAGTACACAACAAGTGATTTCTGATCCCATGACTAAGGGATTGCCGCCTAAGCTATATAGTGAGCATGTTGCTCGTATAGGCATTATTGATAGCTTTGATTTACTTAGTTAGTGGGAGGTTGTTTTTTTACTTAGTTGTAGATACATTTGTATTTGTGATCACAGTTTCTTATGTTATATTATTCTTATTTATTTAGTTTTCCATATTGGTGCACATGTGTATGGAAAATTATAAATGTCATTTATGAGACATGGTGTGTCCTTATTGAGACGCGGTAGGACCGAAGCATGGTATAATACTTTATTGTTTAGCACATGCAGTATTTATGTATAATCTTGAAGTCGAGTGTATTAATGTTTGTGACCATTGATGTCCTATATTATTAAATAATATAATGACGTCCTTGATCCAATATTGGTATACTTGTAAGGACTTCATGAAAGTTGTTTGATACAATGATTCTCTAAATATAGATAATTTATTTAGAGTGTACACACCAACATTATTTCAATATATATATTTCATAAATAAATAAATAAAGATTAATTATGAATATAAGACCAAGTGGGAGAATGTAAGAATACAATGATCTTATTATAATAATTAATTTTAACTTTTATTTAAATTGTTTTATAATTATCTATATTTAGGAGATGTAACGTTGTATCATATGAACACTGTTTATTTTATAACAGTTATTTAATTACAGAGGGATGTGTTGGTTGATGGAACCAACATGTCTCCTTTTAGTAAGGTTTTGGAGACGGTCCCAGTCCTCTATATATATACGTGAAAGAAAGGTCTGAAACCATCGTCAGTTTCACAGGAAAAAATAGAGGGTTGAAGAGTGTTTCTGATATAGTTCATCTCAAATTCAAACTGCTAAAGATGGCAGGTATGTTTTTATAAACTAAGTTTTTATGCATTAGAACCATGTACTTTAATATCGTTGAATTGCTTACATGCAATACATGTTCAAAAACTCTTTAAAAGAATAAAAATAAAAATAAAAACAGAGTCTAAAAGCGTTCTAGTCTGTAAGGTAATGAGAGAAAGATAGTGGGAAAAATAGTGGTTAATGAAGAGTCACTAAGAAGGTGGAAAATCAACACGTTGACTATAAACACGTGATGTGAAAATAGAGTTACGCGGGGTGCAGAAATAGTTAGTTGATTTTAATTGTGATTAACTCCTTTAATGACCTAGATCTGATTATTAGGTCAACTTGCTCAATTTATGATTGATTAAATTCTATGATCAATTAAACATCCATAATCACGAATATAAATACTGAAAAGTAAAACAAGTTAAGTTTAGAGAGATTGCACCAGGATTTTTAGCGAGGAAACCATAGTTGATAAAATACATAAACTATCCACTATGTTTGAAACAAAGTACACCGAACTTTGACTCTGACTCACACCCTAAAGTTCTATCAAACACTAATTGCTAACAATCCTCTGGCTTTACGACTCCCCGTCTAACAACAACTTGACCTTATGCTTATGCTTGATATTTGTAGAAAAGTACTAGGTAGATCAGACAACACACCTTGAATGCTCTAACCATTTCAAAGTGTGATCGTTTTTATTTCTGTTCTTCAAGATCTTAACTCGATTATAGACGAATTAAATCCTGCTCTTCATATGAAATCTCTGAATTTTCAATATACCTCCAATTCCGATGAGATAGAGAACAACACTACTAAATCATTCATGAATATATGTGTGTGCTCTTATAAATAAATTCAGAACACTTAGATTTGATTTTCTGAATTTTCTTTTATCTAAAAGGCTTTCTCAAAATATAGAATTGATTTTTCCTAAAGCCGTAAATAAACCTAGAATGCTAACAAGGTCTATATAGAGTTTACAAAGTCCTAATTCCTCATAAAATATGAAAAATTTCGTGCATAGGACTTAAAAAGAAGTTGGGATAAAAAAGGAAACAATCAGACAAGGTAACTTGGAAACCTGATGCTACCAGGACTACTTGAACCGGTTCAGAGGGGTTGAACCGGTTCAAGAAGACCAGTAAAGAATTCCTCGGATTCTTGAATTGGTTCAGCCCCCTTGAACCGATTCAAGATGGCCAGTTGAACTTGTTCGATGAATCTTGAACCAGTTCAAGATGGACAGAATGTAAAATATTGTTTAAAACTTTTCAAAACCCTTCCTAAATGTTCTTACTACCTCTCAACCTTCTTAGATCATTGTTCCTATCATATCGGAGTGTTGTAAAATATGAACACTCGAACTTCTTCAAATCCGCATCCAATCTTTAATCTTCGAAATTTTGAACCGAAAATTACAACTTGATCGGACTTGTTTTGACAATAAAATTAGCCAATTACAAAATATATATCTCACGTATGAGTTGAAACAACTGTAAAAGAAGAAGAAGTCAAATCCATTTAAAACTATCTAATATGAACTACGACTGCGAATCCACAATCGCAAGTACAACCGTGTTTAGTAGTCCTCATTTTGAAATGCATTCTTTTAAAAAAAATTAAGAACTCAAGCTTATAATAAAATGCATTCTACTTTCTTTTCTATTCCCCATCAATTTAATGGGATTTTGTACCCCATAAAATAAAAAAATTATTACAATATATTTATAGCGGAATAAGTACAATTAAAATGTGTAATAAAGATAAAGGGCATTACCCATATGAATTTAGGAGAGAATTAGACGATTGATATATATATATATATATATATATATATATATATATATATATTTCAAAATAGTTGCTCTTTGACTCAAATCTATAGTCGACAGTTTTTACTACTAAACCAAACAATGGTCCCTTAAAACTAATGTCTAAAAACATAATCAAATTTAATTCGTAACACTCCATTACATCTAATAAAAACACAGTTTTATTTGAATAGTGAATTGAGTCTTTATCCAAGGTGTGATAGTTAATATATGCTTCAAATTTTAGACTTAGTTTTTTGATTGCACAGATTTATAATTATAATTATTTTTTAAATATCTAAATAAGTGTCTGAAGTGTGTGTATATATATATATATTTAAGTTTAGAGTGCTCTCTGAAAAAGTTCTCTCAGGACCACTTCGACTTCATTTTGTAGTTTGACACCAAACTTTATTACAAATAGTTCTAATAGACTTAGTATTGATCATGAAACACTATCCATTCAAGTCTTATTACAATTATCAAGTCCAATTTTTTGATAATAAGCTCAAGACCTCACAAAAAATGTTTAATTTTAATTTTGGTACACTGTTCTCATACAATTTCAAGACTCCTACGTAAGATAAAGTAGTTAGGGGAACCATTGAACTGGTTGTGCAAAATAAGGGTTCAGCTTTGTGCCAATCCAGAGGTATTGAGGTCAATTTACACAAGTTTAAAAATAAGGCCTTATACCGGTTGCTATTAGGGGTCATTAAAGCGGGTTGCAAATAATAAGGGTTTGGATTGAATGCACATAATAAGGTTTTTTTTTTTTTTTTTTTTCAAAAAAAATAAATTATCAGCTCCCTTATTCCATACAAGTTCTCATGTCATTACGTGTTGCTCAAGTCCGGGTTGTTTAAATTTTCAAAATCTTGGTTTAAATAAAATTTTACCAAAAACATCCTTTACATATGTCTGCATTAAAATTCTAAACATTTGTCCATTTTTCTTAGAGGTTGAAGGAACTCTCGTCCAAATTCAAATCCGCGTATTGAATTGGAGTTGTTTAAGGCCCCACCCAACTACCAAGTCCCACTCCACGCAATGGTTTTTACACCACTGATTTCTTCTTTAATGAAACGCCACTTTTGCCTATTCTCTCAAATTTTCTCACTGCAACAAAATCTACTTCGTGAATTACTACTATTGGTATGTTTCTTTTTGTTGAAGCTCCTTAAGTTTTCAAACCAAACTTGCTTTGGGTAAATTTTGAAACCAAACTTGATAATAGAACCATAAAAGGGGAAACAACTTGGATTGTTCTTGGAATTGTTTTTGAATTAATTTTTAAAGAAAATTAGGACCATTTTGTCAAGGACTATAACTCTTATTAAAATTTATTAATAAGGACTCAAAAATTTAACTATTATTTTAAAAAATACTAGATTGTTATATCTCCTTTACCTCCTAAAAATAAAGGTTGAAGGTTAATATCCTATATGTCAAAATAGGTATGTGTATTATTTGCAAAGATTTATTTATTATTATTATTATGTTTTTTCTTAACCTCATGAATAGAAAGAAACTCACTAAAACCATAGGATCGTATTATCCACAAATCACCAATGGCTCTAACCATAGTGATACTTATTCGATTTTAAAAGTGGGAGATATGTGATTCAAGTCTTCATAAGAACCGGTTTTTAAGGGTTTTTTTTTTTTTTTTTTTTTTTTAAGTTAAAAATATAATAATAATAATATTGATAATAAAACATCACTCATGATTTAAAATCATCATTTCATTTTTTATTTTTACCACCATTTTTCCCCTAAAGATGAAAAGTAAAATCATTTTATATATTTTCTCTTCTAAGACATAAAAAAAACACTAGAAATATTAACACTATCATATCCTTTCATTTATTCTCTCTAGTATGTTATTTTAATCATTCATATTGTTTGAAGGAATGAAAATTTAAAAAGAAGAAAGAAAAGGAAATTACTACTTAACACAATGCTTAATAATTTAGGGAAAAAGAGGAAAAAAAGGAAAAAAAAAAAAGTAAAAAGAAAAGAAAAGAATTGGTTGCATAAGTTTTGTTTGGTTTGGTTTAAAAGGTGAGCTTTGAAACTAAAATTAAAGAACTAAAGTTAAAGAACCAAAATTAAAAAACTCCAAGCCAGACACAAAAAGGCTTTGGACAACACGACCAGCCCGACCCAGAACAGAGAGACTGACAGGCGGTTGAGGGAGAAGAAAACTTTGGGGGCGACAAGTCAAACGCAACTATCATAAGAGATTTTTAGAGAGAGAAAGTGAGAGTGCTGTAGAGAGAGAACATTGAAGAGAGAAAATGATCTCTGACGGAGTCGACGGCGAAGATAAATATCTGACGGCGGGCATCGCCGGCCTTCAACAGAACGCCTTTTACATGCATCGCGCTCTGGTAAATATATATATGTATGTGTTTGTATATATGTATATACAAAACCCTAATTTGGCCGGTGTTGTATCAGGATTCGAACAATCTCAAGGATGCTCTCAAATACTCTGCTCAGATGCTCTCTGAGCTTCGTACTTCGAGGCTTTCCCCTCACAAATACTACGAACTATGTAGAATCTTCCTCTCCGATCTGATCGATTTCCTTTTTTTGTTGGATCGATGAATTCAATTTTAGTTTCTTAATCTAATACTGATTTGAAGTTTGTAGATACCAAAAATGCAACACTTTCTGATTGGTGATGTGTGTTTGATTCCGTAGACATGCGAGCCTTTGATGAATTGAGAAAGCTGGAGATGTTCTTCAAGGAGGAGACTCGGCGTGGTTGTGCCATCATCGATCTGTACGAGCTCGTGCAGCACGCCGGCAACATATTACCGAGACTGTAAGTGGGAATTACATTCATGCCAACATTCCCTTTTGTTTTTCACTGTTTTTATTAATTTAACTCGGTGCTGAATTGGCTGTTGAGGAGTACCCATAGTGTGGGTTCTAGACGTATATGTATGTTATGGAGTGTGTTTTGGAAATAAAATGATTTGCAGACATTTTCTTTTAAAATAAGTAAAGGCGTGGAGATGTGCTTGGTATGTGAGTTTTTGAAAACCAAAGTGCATAATAATGGAATATCAGAAATGACGAATAAAAAAGGATAGCAGAACTATATGGGCCACAAACTATCTTTCAGTTCACCTGAATGAAGCTGTTGAAATATTTGAATGCATTAACTGGATTGTTGCACTGTGTGCGTATGCATTCTTACAATCCTGATTTACCTGCTTTAAATTTGACCTCTTGTGACTTTGTGCGAACTTTTTATCAGTATGTCCCATTCCAGAATGAATATTAGTTCATAACTTGTTGGGCAAAGCTGTGTTGTTGGACATGACATAAATGGTTGTTAGGTTAATGTATTCTGTAAGCATGTGTTTGTTCAAAAGCACTGGAAGTAAAGTTAATTCGGATGCTTTCTGCTGTTTTTCAGTTTGCATTGCATCTTGGACCTTGTCCTTGATTCAGTGAAGGGGCAAACCTAGTGCACAAGACTCCCACCATTGTGGTGGGGGGGGGGGGGGGGGGGGGGCGGGGGGTGGGGTGGGGGGATGGGGAATTAGATGTACGCAGCCTTACATCCGCACGCGGAGAGATTGTTTCCTTGTTTCGAACCCACGACCTTCTTGATTTAGTGAAGTGGGATATCTCTGTTTCTTAATACTGTTGATTGTCAGTATTAACCACAAATGAAGGCAATTTATCACCATCTCTTTATGTAAATATCGAGAATTGGAGATCCATAGTTATGGTCCAGACTTTTTTTGTTTCCTTTTGATTGAATCATTTTATTAAAGTTGGTTGCCAAGAATTTGAGAGAGCAGTGAGGAATTCCTTATGCGCATCTAGGAAACTAGGAAACTGTGTACACTCAACTATAGATCTTCCTCACGATAGTACGCTTTATCTTAATTCGTTCTTCACTTATTAAATATTCAATTTTTATGCTGTTGTGGAGAAAGGTGCACAAGGTTGTATGCATAACATGTGTCACCTGCTCAACCAAATGTGTGCTTCATGGAGAAGTTGGGCAATCACAAATTAGTGCATTATTGGGATGAGTTTAATAAGAGAGGATGTTGAAATGATTGAGTGGTTGCATATTGAAAATTATAAAGGGCATATATAGTAATTTTTTGGGGACTTATTTGTATTCCTGCACTTTCTTTCTCAGGTATCTCCTTTGTACAGTAGGATCTGTGTACATCAAATCTAAGGAGGCTCCTGCCAAGGATGTTCTTAAGGATCTTGTGGAAATGTGCCGTGGTATACAACATCCTGTACGTGGGCTCTTCCTAAGGAGTTATCTTTCTCAAGTCAGTAGAGATAAATTACCTGATATTGGTTCTGAGTATGAAGGGTAAGGAAAGCAGTTGGACTTTTTGCGTTCAATTATAAATTTTGATGGAAGAACTTTTTAACTGTTTGCATTGAACATCTTGAAAATTTGGTGGTCCAAAGACCACAGAAGGTAGCCAGTCTTGACTGTGGTGAGTCAGGTGGCAAGAATGGTTTTAGAAATCACTCAGTATTGTCACATAACACCTAACACCATTATATTACAGTATTGTTGTGCTTTGTCATTATTATGATTATAGTACTTTGGTTGGAATGAAATTCACAATTATATAGGCTATTATGATTTGTTATCATTTTTATATGGTGCTGTAATGGCACACACAGGGTAATTCAAAACAATTAATACAGCTTTCTCCTCATTTTTTTTTTAACCTATTCCCCCTTTTAAGAACTAGGATACTTGATTTTTATTTCTACACTTCCATTATCAAATTGCAATATTTATGTCCAAGTCTTAGAGTGAAGAGTCTTAAAATTGCATCTCCTGTCAAACCATCAATGCGTAAATAGGAGAAGGATGAGAGATTCTTCAAAGGTAAATACAAAAATGTGGAGATCTAACAAAAACCACCATGTTACAAGGCCATTTAGGAAAGAAAACGGGATCCACCACACCACAGAACCCATATACCCATACCAAACATGGGTCAAGGGGAAACAATTTCTCTTTGAAATTTTGGAGTGTCATAATTCCTCTTTTTTCTAAATCATCCACTTCCTCACTTGAATATCTAAGTAATAAATCAATTCTACTCCAGTTATTAAAAAAAAAAAAAAAAAAATCAATTCTAGTCCAGTTATCCAAAAAAATAAAAAAATAAATTATACTCCAGTTACTAGAGAAACATCCTACCTTCCGGGGACGGACCCAGGAAATTAGGGGGGGAGGGGGGGGTGCAATAGTAGGTTTTTTTTTGTAATTTCAGGGTTGGCGATATGAAAATTTAATAGGCATGTAATTCAAAAAAAGGAAAATTAGTACTATAAAGAAAAAAATAATAAATTCAGGTGGGGGACAAGCCCCCCCCTGAATATACTATAGGTCCGTCCTTGCTAGCTTACGTGCATATATTACCGATAGTGCAATATCAAATTAGTGCATGGCAAATAACATTAGCTGAATCTCCTTCAACTAAAATGTGATAAAAGCTTCAAAAGGAACGCTTCTTTGCAGCGTTAAAGGTCTCAAATTACATTTAATTGCTTCATCAATTAACATTTACTACATTTGGTAATATCAAAGAGCTCTCAATTTTTGCTATTATCTTAGTTATGGAAGTAATGAAGACTAAAAGGTAAATATTAGGAAGTAACTTTCATTAAAATGACTTAGAAACCAATATAAAATTAAATATGAACTATATATTATGTTGTTAGGTTCTGTAAAAATCATTAAAGGTAATTAAAAGCACTAAAATGTAGGGAACTGGGGATGAAACGTGAGTATCGGTTAGGTTTTTGGGGTTTTCTTACAAAAAAAAAATTCACAACTTCAAATTTCTGCATCTGTTTACTGTAATGCATTGATGGCTTCTTGTGATGCCATTACACTGGAGCTGCAACATTATTCTGATCATACAATGATGTAAAACCATTACTTGATACTTAACTATAAAAAAAGTTGTGTGTTGGGAGTGGACCTGATCTGTGCATGGCTTACTTGACAATTGCAGGGATGCGGACACTGTAGCGGATGCTGTCGAGTTTGTGCTCCAAAACTTCACAGAAATGAACAAACTTTGGGTGCGGATGCAACATCAGGTTGGTTGAAATATCTATGGACTGTGTTACCTGTTCTCATGCTTAGACATGCATGGTGCCACAGTGCTAGGATGTCATGAGGGTAAAATAAATCATGAGGGCATGATTTGTGGTCATGCAGGTGTTATAGTGCTTGTGAATCATTCATACTCTTTGCTGATCTTGAGTGAAGCTTCCAATCGGGCTTTCTGGTCTGCAGGGACCTGCTAGGGAAAAGGAGAAACGGGAAAAAGAAAGGAGCGAGCTTCGTGATCTTGTAATATCAGTAACCTGAAATTGGTTAATCTTTCTGCAAATCAACAATAAAGTGCCCATGTGTACACTTATCAAAAGCTACTCGTCTATTCCTTCCCCTTTTTGTTAGGTTGGGAAGAACCTGCATGTGCTCAGTCAGATTGAAGGTGTCGACCTTGATATGTACAGGGATACTGTGCTTCCCCGAGTCTTGGAACAGGTCTGATCTGTTAGTTTTGCTTTGATTATACACACACACACATATATAATTTGAAGTTAAAATATGTTACTTTGACATGTGACCATCTTCTGATGGAATTTGCATCTCAATTTTCGCAGGTTGTCAATTGTAAAGATGAGCTTGCCCAATATTATTTGATGGATTGCATAATTCAAGTTTTTCCTGATGAGTACCACTTGCAAACTCTTGAGGTATTGTTGGGTGCTTGCCCCCAGCTGCAGGTTGGTTGCATTATCCCTTCTAAACTTTTAAACATTAGTGATTTTTCTGGTTCATGATGCTGTTATCAGACGTGTTCTTGGAGTTTGCCCTGCACTGTGTTTATTATATATAGTTTGAATCCTTTTCTTTGCCCTGCATGTTTAGAGTTCTCGTGCTTAGACATTCTAAATGTTTTAATGTTTGATGTTCATTGAATCTATTATTTAATATCAGTATAAAATTAGGTACTTATTTCACACATTTAAATTCCATTAGGATGCATGTGTATTTTCTTAAACCATGAAGTGAATTGTTTCAGAAGATTGTCATGCTTACAACTCTAAAAGATTCTAATTATTTGTTGTCAGTATGCTGCCTCTGGATACTGTTGTTCATGGTAATCACATTTGCACTTCAAACAACATTTTGTGGTGGTAGTAGTTTTTGTTCCTTTTTCTTTGTAAAGCACATCACGTCAGGAAGCATTGCCATGCTTACGAGTTACAACTTCTAAATGTTTCTTGCTGGTGGTAGTCAATAAGCTTTAACTGGATGCTGTTGTTCTTGGTTCTTCCTTTTGTACATTAAACTGATTCTATCATAATGTGTGTTTCTCTAAGCCTTCTAAATTACTAATATTTGTTTATGGTTAGTTCAGAAACTTGCTATAATTATTAATCTAGTTGATAATCTACTATGGTGTGTAATTTTTTTTTTTTATCCATAGAAAATGTTAAATGATCACTTTGCTATTTATACATTATATTAGTAGAGCTAGAAGTTGTAATGCATCTTTGCTGGGGCCCAATAGTCTTCAAGGTAGGGAGGGACACATTTATCATTAAGTTTTATGTACACATTTATATTCTATATGTTACATGGACTCTTCAAAGGTAGGTGAAGTACCCGTGTCGGACACACGACACTTGGACATGGGTTTGGGGTATGTGTCCGACACTTTTGGTTGGACATGCACCTAAAAAGTATGTCCAATATTTTAATTTTATTATATTATTACATTAAAATGAGTGAAAATACACATATTAAACACTATGTTACATAAACTCATTATTTTAAGTGAGATGAAAATTTGGCAGTGTCCCTAGGTCTTCTGTTTAGAGATTTGAGATACATCTAACATAATAATATATTTATTCAATTTCAAGGTCTTTCTCTGGTTTCTTTCTCTAAATTTTGTACTCCTCTATTCTCATTCTTTAATCAGAAATGAAATAATGTATTGTAAAATTGAAGGATTATGAGAGGGAGAAGGAGAAATTTCTGCTCCTTACCACCGCCACCCAGGGGAAAAAGAAAAAAGAAAAAGAAAGGAAGGAAATAAAAGGCAAAAAAAAAAAAAACAGAAACAGTGTCCCCATAGCCAGAAATTAGAATTTCAGTTGAAGTTTATAATTCCCCCTGCTTTGAGAAAAGAAGGATTTATACCGTAGAAGTGACAGATTCATGCTTAGACTGATGCATTAACATTTAAGCATTAGATAGCAGTGTACATATTATGGCTGTCTAACTTGATTGATAAAGACATGGTGCTGCATTAGTATTGGTATATTTCTATTAGTTGTTTTGAAATCGGTTTGAATGCAAGTATTGTTTATATTTCCTAGCTCTAGCTCTACATTTTGATATATATTACCAACAATTATAATCCTACTGAGCTTTCTTGTTCTTTGTGTAATTGTGTGTTTCAGCCAGCCGTTGACATCAAGACAATTCTATCTCGGTTAATGGAAAGGCTCTCAAATTATGCTGCTTCAAGTACAGAAGTGAGTAATTCATGTGTCCTTTTCCTGCCTGAGTAATTATCTTTGTTACTGATTTTTTCCCCCTTCTTCTTTCTTTTTTATTTTCTTTTTCTTTTTCTGATGCAGGTTTTACCTGAATTCTTGCAAGTAGAAGCTTTTGCAAAACTGAACAGTGCCATAGGGAAGGTAAATTGATAAAATTTTGGGTCATTAAAGCTTTGATGAACATTCAAAATAGGGTTTTCTTAGTATCTTCTTTTAGGTTTTATTTGTTTTGCAACTGCCTGAAGTTCAATCTATATATATTTTTGATAAGTGCCTGAAGTTCAATAAATTGAGACCCTTTTAGATCTCTAATGGTAAGGTTTTCAAATATTATCTATAGGTTTGTTTTTTTTATTATTCACAGATTACATTTCCAACTGGCTGAAGTTCAATAAATTGAAACCCTTTCTAGATATAATGTAAATTTTATCTTCTTCTTCCTCCTTCTCCTCTCTTGTCCTTGTCGTTTTATACGACGCACAATGAATGGACAAAATCTTCTTGATTTGGCTTGCGTGTGGTTGGAAAAGGCAAACAGAATAAGTGGGATCTCTTTTCTTGATGAAGAAAAATGTTAATCTTGCAATTATCAGTTGTGTTTAAACACCTCAACATGTGATCTGCCGAACAGTGTGTTTCTATCTTGATGTGCATGTTTTGAGGTTGCAACTTTTCATGTTTCCTTGTTTGCAAAAGCAGTTTTGTGCTTTGTGGAACTTCACTGTTTACCCATTGTATATTATTTTCATTTTGTTTCTGAAATGATACAAGTCATTCTTATGATTGTTTAAGTGTTGCATGTTTGTCAGACTTCTTTATTTTTCCAATTACTCTGAAAAGTGTTGTTGCAAGTTTCGAATTTTCAGTAAAAAGGAAACATGTTTCTTATTTCTTTTTGCCTCAATAAACAGAAACATGAAACATATTTGGCAGATATAGTTTTTGTCCAAAGAAATGAAAACAAAAACAGTTAGGCTTGTTTGGCAGTGAAAAATATTGTTGTCAAAATCTTGATAATTTGATATCCTATATTTCAGTTATTCATTCAATCAACATTTTTGGTTAATTGAGCAATGAGACATGGTGTACTGGTTTTCTCTGTGCAATCTAATTTCCCGTACTAAGGAAAAATAGAATTCAAGTCCACATAATTTGCAACTGCACAGTATTAGAAAGTAGGGCTATTTGCAAGAAACCCTCTTGTACTATGCAAGTTGTCCCTCTGCATTGCGATATGCCCCATTACTATTGAAAGTGTTGCAGGATACCTCCCTACGGAGGGAGGCAAATTGTAACATTTTCAATAATTGAGGGGGGCAGCTTGCAAAGACTTGTATAGTAATGGGTGGTTTTTTTGCAATTAACCCTATAAAGTAATTCCAGCTAAGTCCAAAGTGAAAACGTATCTTTTGTTGAAAAGATGCAGTGGTTTTTTCTATGCAATCTAATGGCCAATTACATGTTAAAAAAAAAAAAAAAAAAACCATTAGCTAAGAATGCAAATGCTAATATGATATAATATATACATATATTTATATATAGAGAGAGGAAGAGCTTGGAATGAAAGGATTAGGGTCCTGAGGTGCAGCAGATTGGGAAAGGGTAGAACGGGGATGGGGGTGACTTGTGAAGTTTGGTGAAAATAGGAGTGGAATCATGTTTTTTTTCTTGCTGAGGGGGTGGGAGGGTGACCTGAGATAACTTTCTTTTTCTTTGTTTTCATATTTTGCTCCTTTTCTACAAATACATATATATATATATTTTTTGTAACACACCAAATATGTTCTTTATGTTCCGGTTTCAAAATTTCTGAAAACAAAAACAAGAAAATCTAAAACTACATGATTTCCAAATAGCCCTTATATCTTCCCCTTCTTTCCTCTTCTTGAGTATTGTCATATTCTTTCTATTAATCGTCGTCATCATTCTTTCTATTGGCTTTTATAATTTTTTCTACATTCATTTTGGAGATTGGGAGATGGTTCATTGAGATTGCGAATGTGATAACTATGCTATATGTTGATGCAGGTGATTGAAGCACAGGTTGAAATGCCAACTGCTGGAGCTGTAACTTTATATTCATCTCTTCTTACATTTACCATTCATGTTCACCCAGATCGGCTTGATTACGTGGATCAAATATTGGTAGGTCTCTTTTCAGCTTTCTTTCACTTGTATGTTTAGTTCCTAGTTTCACATGTACTCTTTTCTTGGCCATACGCCAAGATTTGTGTGTCATTTAGCTGATTTCTTAATCTTTTTCTTTCCGGATTGAGTTAAGAATCACAAGAAAAATGAAAATTTTAGTGAATTTGGTGCATAAGTTTTTCAAGTGGGAACACCTTAAATATATATTTTTCTTTTTCCCATGGGCGTCATTTAATGGATGTCTTAAAGAGTGCTTAACTCCACCTTAAAATAATAATGGGATTTATGCTACGTTTGCTAGGAGGGAAGGAATGAGGAGGGGAATAGAGGAGGGAAGAAACAACCTTCCATTGTTTGGTAGAAGGGAAAGGAAGAGGGGAAGGATGTGAGGATGGATAAGACATCCTTCCAAGCCCACCATTTTGCTTAAATCCAATGGTGGGAGGTAGATAAGAGAGAAAAATTTATATTTGTTGGATAATTTGAAAAGATGTCCCTACCCTCGTTCTAATATATTTAAGGGTATATTATTAAAATAATAATATCTTTTTCCTTTCCTTCCACCCAAGTAAACAGGAGGAGGGATGAATACCATCCCTTCCCCTCCCTTCCATCCATTTTTGCCACTCTTCTACCGGACGGAGCATTAGAGAAGTATTATGGCTAATGTCCTGTAATTGCAAATCTTTCTGGTTTTATAAAGTTTGACAAGCTTGAATATGACAATGCACTTGTGCAAAATTTCAGAATTTCATAGTACAAGGCACAAAAGCCACTAATTTAAAGGCCATGAAAAGGTGTTTACCCAGTGTGTTGCCTATCAGTTGATGATGCGAGGGGAGGTATACGGCGTACATACATAGTGTTAAAATTTGAATGTCAAATATAAAATATAAATCAAGATAAGTGGAAGATGGAAAACACAGAGATTTACATGGTTCGGCACTAAGGTCTACATCCATGGACAAAGAGCCACTAAGGGCTACATTTTTATTATTCAGATCTGTATATTTTGCTTGAGAACAAAGAGCCTATATATAGGCATGGTAAAGATGAGAAAATATGGAAGGTGTACAATAGTCAAAGGAGGCACAGTGATTGGTGGAAGATTTTGCTCCACAATTATATAGAAATATTTATAATTGGAAGGAAATTGACGGGATCACCATGATTGGTGGAGGAATTTGCTCCACAATTATATAGAAATATTTATGTATTTCAACACATAGCTTGTGGCATTATTTGCATAAAGTGGCTGCCACTAGACTCAAGCACATGTTCTCATTCTTGACAATTGAGGTTTTACCACACATAAAGTAATGGCCCTAGCAAAAAGCAACTTAAAGGAAGCTATTAGTTTGACCATAGTATCAAATTGATGTAGAACCGAGTAACAAGAAATAGAATGACAGAGACTGTAACAAGAATGAGGAAGAAGAGAAGAAGAATGGAAGGAAGAAATCAGAATGAGGGAGAAGAATCACAATAATATCTCAATATTCAATAATCAATAATCATAAAATGATCCCTAATAATATTGATTAGGCATCAAGAAAACCCTAAAATCCAATTTCCATAAATAAAATCCTAAAATCCAATAATAATAATAAAAGACAAAAATCCCTAATTTTATATTTCTTTCCCACGTCTCCATAGGTGTGGGCCATGTGGACATCAAGCTTTCGGACCATGCCCGGTTCTCTATCCTTGATGTGGATTCAAGCTTTTGAAATTATTTTTACCGGGAAAAAAAAGCCTCAGAAATCATTTAACACTTTTAAGTTTTGGTCTCTGTGCTAGTGATTTTGCATTTGAGCCTTTTTTCCCCCTTTTTTCTTTCATATGATATGCAAGTTGCTATATATCAAAATGCACCTCAACTCTCTGCTAGTTCAAGGCATGGGTTCTGAGGAATTGCACACTGGGTTGCACTCATATTATATGCTCAATTTATTCATTAAATACTTGGTTGGGATTACTCATTTAAAACCTAATTGCGAATGGACTAGAACTCAAACTGCTTATATTTTGGCAAATGCAAGTTATTTTATGGGCTTGTTCACTAGAAAAATTATACTCACTTCAGGTCGGCTCATATCGTTGCATTTTCTCTGGATGGTCTGCATGGACTTGTTTTATGTGATTTTGGAATTTGATGAATGAGATATTTCTTGGAGTGCGTCAATGCTGTTTGGATTGACTTAAACAGTGTCAGCATTTATTAAATTCTTCTTTCCCATCTTCTTTAGGGAGCCTGTGTAAAGAAACTCTCTGGCAAAGGAAAGCTTGATGACAGCCAAGCAACAAAACAGATTGTTGCACTTCTAAGTGGTCCATTGGAGAAATATAATGATATTGAGACTGCCTTGAAGCTTTCTAATTATCCCCGTGTCATGGAATTCCTGGATGATGAAACAAATAAAGTCATGGCTGGCGTTATAGTTCGAAGTATCATGAAAAGCAAGACTTGTATTTCTACTGCTGACAAGGTTTGTATATACCTCCTATCTATACTGCTATTTGAGATGGTGCTTTCATGACATTGAACTTCTGGTTTCGTGTAGGTTGAGGCATTGTTTGAACTAATCAAAGGTCTTATCAAAGATTTGGATGGGAATCTTCACGACGAGGTGTTTGGAATAATTTTCCTTTTACATATTTTATAATTTACATTTTGTTTTAATGCTTATAGCTTAGAATTTTATGCCAAGACTTGCATCTTTTATTCCATTTCATTAATTTTTATTTTTATTAGTTTTTGGAAATGAGCCATTCACACATGAAAGTATTCATCGTATGCTCTCTCTCTCTCTCTTTTTTTTTTTCTACGTTCAGCTTGATGAGGAGGATTTCAATGAAGAGCAGAATTCTGTTGCGCGCCTTATTCAGATGCTATATAATAATAATCCTGAAGAGATGCTAAAGGTAATAATAATTCTTTCTTTAAAAACTTTGCCTGTCATACATAAAAACATATATATGAATACATTTCAATGGTGTCTTTGTTGTTAGTAACAGTTTGGTGCATCAACTGAGGCTATTTAAAATGCGAGAGATAACTGTTCAGTATAAATGTTGATGAATGACTTCTCTGCTGCGTATACACCAAGTTTCTTTTCTTTTTATTTTCCCCATCTCTTGATAAGTAACCTTGGTGAGAAGAAGGAAGCTAGAGTTGGCTTCTAATTTACATTGAGAGATACTATATGTCATCTTAATTTGATGCGTCATATTTGCACTTCCTGTTAATCTTGAAAAGTTTGTCTACAATGGAGTTGAACCAAGTATGCGGAAACTTACGTGCTGTTTGATAATTCAATTAAGCGCTTGATCTTGAAAAGTTTGTCTCAGAATTAAGCGCTTATCCAATTAAGTGTGTTTGATAACGTGCTTTGAATATCATTGAAAACAGTAAGCGCCACATAAAATGGAGCAAGATTTTAAGTGACAGAGACATCACTTGTCACTGAATGCTGAAATTTCAAAAAGATATCAAAAAATATTTATTTTTTAATTATCACTTAAAAACTTCTGCAATTAAAATTCAGCTCTTAAAACTTTCAGTACTTAATTTTCAGTTTTATCAAACAGCACCTTACTTGTCAGACAGAAGTATGCCTAGTTTTGATGTTTACTTTCAAAATTCCACTGCCCTTCGTGAGTTAGTTCCACCTTCTGCGGAAATTTGTGGCTGAATTAGAAGTCCTATTATCTTCAAAGGCTTGGTTGCATCAGTTGCTTATGTGAAATCCTGACATCTATTTAAGCTTAAAATTATTAATAAAGTTTTGATCTTCTGCAATTTTTTATTTATTATTATTATTTTTTTGCATTATGCCATATTTTTTTGTTATTTCTAGGATTGAGATATTGTTTTTCTCTATATACTAGATCCCCCCCCCAAAAAAATTAAATAAAACTATACATCAGATTTCTTTTTCCTTATTTTTCGAATGATTTATGCATGCCTATATGAAGGTCCCTCATTTTCTATTTTATCTTGGGCTGCCTAAAGAGGGAGTGGGGGTGTAGGTTTCATTTTAGTTTCTCATGACAGTTTATCTGCTTACATTATCTATTAATATCAACGCCATCTGTTTCCTTTCTCTTTCACCTTTATGGTGTTGATCCCAATTTATTTGCTGACTTCCAGATCATATGTACTGTGAGGAAGCATATTCTGAATGGAGGACCGAAACGGCTTCCCTTTACTATTCCTCCACTTATTTTTAAAGCACTTAAGGTTTGATTCTGTCTTTAAGCTTTAAGACAAAAATTTGTGTTATCTGATGGTCCTAACTAGTTTGAAGATGTGGAAAGCAGTTCCTGCAACATATTTCAGTATTAGAATGCATAATGGCAAGTTAAATTCCGGACGTGTTTTGTTGTTGTATTGTTGATTGTAGACACATTGTAACACATTGCATTTAAGATGCAAACTTGTTAATTCTAAACTTCTGTAGCAAAGAGAAGCTAATAGTGTGATTGATGAAGGCATAAAATGCTAAGATAGCTATCCGTTTGATTAGTGCTTGTGTTATGTTGTATTAAACAGATATGTTGAATAAATACTTAAAATAATGAACACTTAGCTAAGGTGACTGCAGTAAAGTGGTTAAATGTTGGCATCACATCTACAAGGGAGGCGGGTTTATTGGTTATTTTCTTAGCGTGGATAATGTGTATATGTATTGAACATTTAATTAAAACTTAATTTGATGTTAAATTCAGCTAGAATTATGATGGTTTTTTTTTTTTTTTAGCAAGCAAGTATAACTATGATGGATAAAATACCAAAGTGGGCATTATAATTTTCCATGGGGTATAAATGTAATGTAGATGTGGTCATGTGTCTGCTTAGTTGAATTGATTGAAACATTATTTAAATTGAAATATATTGGTCACTTCTTGAAATGCTGAACAAAATTGTTTAAAACAACATAGAGCCGGTAAGGACAAATAAACAATTGCACTCTATCTGAATTTTATGCCAGTTTGACCTTTTATGTGACAAAATGAAATGAGATTTTGGAATTGGATTTGCGATGAATCAATTAAGACTGGGAATTCTAACCCAAAATGGTCCTGATGAGTAATGTTAAACCTAAAGTTTGACCTTTTATGTGATAAAATGAAATGAGATTTTGGAATTGGATTTGCGATGAATCAATTAAGACTCATCCAATATGTTATGTGTAGCTAAAGTGAAAATTAGTTTCAGAATAAATTGAAAAAAACACTAAAGATGCATTTTGCTCCAAAATTATCTCAATCCATGGATTTGGGGGAGCAAGTCAGACCAATTACGTGGGAATTCTAACCCAAAATGGTCCTGATGAGTAATGTTAAACAAAAATACAGAAACCTAAGAGCATGCATTATATAGATCCACAAATTTTCACAGGCATTTATAGATCTTCAATGCATTCTTAGATTTCCGGATTTATGTATCTATAAAAAGAATCTAGGTTTATTATTATAACTATGAATAGAAATGAACGGAGTCTTCCTAAGCATACGGCATCAGCATTGTATATATATATATATATATATATATATATTTAATAAATATCAGCATTGTAAATATTCTATACAATTTATTTTGCAGAAAAATACAAAAAATATGAATTAAGAAGTCTTTCCCCTCCCTTTCTTATGTTCCCTCTTTCTAGAAAATTATACTTCTCTCTGCCCTGTAACTTTTGGATACCGGCAGTATGTATTGTACCTTCTATAAGGTAAATACAACTTTGGCACATACCTGAAATTATTTGTCATGCGCAGTTGGTTAGGCAATTGCAAGGCGAGGTCCGCGAGGATGAGAATGTTTTTGCAGATGAGGCGGCATCAGCTACACCAAAGAAAATTTTTCAGCTTTTGAATCAGGTAACTTCTTGTTGGAAGGGGATTATATATGATGTTTTCTATGCAAGTGGTATTGCCAATAAATTGATGCATCACACTTTGGTTGATTGACATTATAATCTTTAAACTTGCAGTTAATTCTTTTGGGTATAATTATATATATATATATATAATTTGTTTGCTTGCTTTTGTTTTGAATATTTAATATTTTCCTGGTGCATTTTATCTAACTGGATTGTTTAGCTTGATCTTGGTACCTTTGTGCATTTATGCGGTGTTTTTTTTTTATCTTGATATTAATGCTTGGGATACATTGGTGATCCTAATATGTTACAAAAAGTATTATAATAGATCATTACTGTTAAATTTGTATATGGCTCTTTCTTTTTCTTTCTCCCATTATGTTCTTTTTTTAATATGTCTAGCACAGGATCTTATTTTGTATGGTATGTTGATATTGGAAGGCCGAAGGCTTGTCTGTCTGTCAATTTCTATGCAACGTACATAGCCTTCCATCTTACTATCTTTGTTAGTTTTGTTCCCATTTTGTTTCAGACAATTGAGGTTTTGTCAATGGTTCCAGTACCTGAACTGGCACTGCGGTTATACTTGCAATGCGCTGAGGTACATGAAAATGCTTGGCCTTAGTCTATTTGTAGGACCTAACGGCATAATCATGTTAAAGTTATGACCTTCATCTGCTTCTGTACTCTTAAATTTCAGGCTGCGAATGAATGTGATTTAGAGCCTGTTGCCTACGAATTTTTCACCCAAGCATATATACTATATGAAGAAGAAATTCCGGTAATTGAATACTTGCTGAACTATTTTGCTTGTATATGTCTTTGTTTTTCCTTTTTCCCGGGGAACTAATTGTGTTTTTAGAGCCTTCGAAGCGTTCAATGAGATGGATTTATGCTTATTCTTCTCCCTTTCTTGGTTACGGATGTTCTCATAGGACTCCAGAGCACAGGTGACTGCAATGCACCTGATTATAGGGACTCTTCAGAGGATGCATGTATTTGGTGTTGAGAATAGGGATACCTTAACACACAAGGCCACAGGGGTAATAATAATAGCATATGGTCTACTCATAGACTCATTTCAGCGTAATTCGATCAAAATTCTGATATGAACTTCTCTTGTTGAGCAGTACTCTGCTAAGCTTTTGAAGAAGCCTGATCAGTGTAGAGCTGTTTATGCATGTTCACACCTCTTCTGGGTTGATGATCAGGATAGCATCAAGGATGGAGAGAGGTACATTATCACACACTTCGCATCTATAAAAGCCCTCATAATACCCGTACATTTTCATGGCTATGTATCATCACATGCATGTCATGTGGGTGTAATAATCATGAGAAGAATATGTCCATCCAAGCAGATTTGCTGTAACTAGATCACATAAGCAGTACACGTTTTTATTTTTGGCTGAATCTGATCATTCTCTGTTTCTATAAAAATTTCTGAGCTTGTTGAGAAAAGGGATGGAAATTTTCTGGTGCTTAGTTTTTATATCAATTTGGTATTTGTTTCCAGGGTCTTGCTTTGTTTAAAGCGCGCATTAAGAATTGCAAATGCTGCTCAACAAATGTCCAATGCAGCACGGGGCAGCAGCGGATCAGTCATACTCTTTGTTGAAATATTGAACAAGTAAATAGTTCCCATGCTTCATAATTTTGTTCATTTGTTAAATCACGTCACTATTTTTCCTTCAATTTACAACTAAAAGGAAATTTTGATCTTTTTGTAACTTCAGGTATCTCTATTTCTATGAGAAGGGGAACCCGCAGATCACCGTTAGTGCAATCCAGGACCTGATTGAATTAATCACGACTGAGATGCAAAGTGAGAATATGACACCAGATCCAGATGCAGATGCTTTCTTGGCTAGTACACTGCGGTACATGCAGTTCCAGAAGCAGAAAGGTGGTGCGGTAGGTGAGAAATACGAGGCCATTAAGTCATCAGGTGGATGAGTCGTTTCTGAAGAAGCGAATTCATTACGTGACAGCAGCGGATAACTTTTGTGAAAATGGAGATTTGTAAATGACCTTTTGGTTTCGGACTTCTTACGCACCAACAGAACGAGGTGGCTGCTATGTTTCTGGTGGAAGAGAGGCATATGTGCTTTAGTTCAATGCAATATTGACGTTAGGATAGTGTTACATCTGTGAATGTTTCTTTTACACATGCTTACAGGTTCCATAGTCAGTTCTGCTTTTAAAATTTATTGATGACTAGAATAACACTTTTTAGGGTTAAATGCAACGAACCCCCTGAACTATTGGGGTATTGCAAGAAACCACCTGAACTACCAAAAACAAAAAACCTGCACTATTGTTTTGTTACACCTTCCGGCACCGGGAGAGTTAAAAGGCCATGTTATCCTTGTAAAAAAAACACAGTTTTAATTACACTTAGTGCAAGCACAGTTTAATCCATGGCGGCATCCTCCACTTCCACCACCAACACTATCATCGTCTCAACATCGCCTTCAAAGAACAATGAAACTCAAAGAATTCATGCCGAAACACAGCGTTAAACCAAATCAGACCCACCGCCATCACTACAACAACAAAAACCCCCAAAACCAACAAAGACCCAATACTCCAAATGAACTCAAAACCATATTCCATCCAAACCTGGCGATGCAATTAGCGAGGATGCAAGGATGATTAGCGGGCAAAGAACCACGAACTGAGGCGACGGGTTCGGATGTGGATGATATTCGGTGGTGAAGTAGCGGTGAAGGACTGAAACAGCGGCGATGAGATGTGGGCCTATTGCAACGGCGATTGGGTTGAGTGAACGGCGGTTTCGGCTGTGAGTGTTGTGAACCAGTCGCGATTCCGGTTCCGGTTTGACGCGATGACGACTGCAACTGGGGTTTGGGATTGTGACGGGATGGGTTGTGCGTTTGGGCCGGCGATTGGTATTCTGATTTGCTGGGTTGCGCGCGTGGCCAATCAAACGGAGGGTTTCAAAATTAAGAACCCAGATGCTTTCTTCAATCACCGATTCTCTCTATATATATACATTCAATCAGTCCCTCTTCACCTCCAAGCTCAACCACAACCACCATTCAATCTTGCGGACCATAAAATCATCACATGAATGCCCGAAAATTATCCTCTCACTCTCTCTCCTTACTACTCCTTCGCACCCACCAACCCCAACCCTCGTCCTCAAGGGTTTTGCTCACTGTGGTGATTAGTTGCGACCCGTTTGTCCCTTCATTACATGGAGCGTGAGTCTAGTGCAAGCCCAACAAGCGCATATACGACATCATGATATTAGTGTATTGGGTCGCAAGGGTCATGAGGGCTTGCTTGATAAGTGCCGCAAGGTGTCGATGAAATGACGAGCCAAGGTGTCGCCTGCAACATCTTCATCCACTGTTGTCATCAATTCCTATGACTGAAATGCCCAGTACCAGGCATCCTTCAAAGATGCATACCCTTCAAATTTGAAATAGGAACAGAGAGTGAGAAGGTGTACTTGCAGGACAAACCAAGTATGAGTGGAATTGAGAGGCATGAGGTTGATTTGGGAAAGAAACTTGAGTTTCCCATTTGAATTTAAAGATTTTCAGAAATTAGGGTAGGAGGTGTTTGGGTACGAGGGTAACAAAAAGGGCATTATTGTCCTTTCACATTCATAATGGTATTATAGTCATATAAACTAAATACTTGCACCACGTGACAGCACATGAGGTTTTTAACGGTAATATTTGACCAGCAATTCGTCGAATGGAGTAAACTATAACAAAAGTGTATAGTTTAGGTGATTTTAGAGATTTTTTTTTTTGTATTTAACCCTTGTATTATAATGAAAGGATTCAACTTATGAGCAAAACCTCAGAACATCTCCTTTATTCTTCAGGTTTTGGTGATGGATAAGATGTGGCTGTTGTTCTGGACATTAAGTCATATGACTCAACTATGTATGTCATATTATTTGTCAATGATCTTTAACTATTGGTCTTATTATTTGCGGCCTATTCGCCTTTACAGAAACTTAAACTCTCACCTCTCATTTGGAAGGTTGAGTAAATACCACTAGAGACTAGACTACAACACTTTGTGGTTAGGCTCATCTCTCATTTGGAAGGTTGAGTAAATACCACTAGAGACTAGACTACAACACTTTGTGGTTAGGCATACGCTTCAATTACCCTTTTTTAAACGAACGCTTCAATAATGGCGATCACTTGGAAATTCCTTTTTCCCCTCAACATTGAGGAACAATTTCTTTACTAAGTTTATTTTAAAAACAGAATTCTTCATCAACTAGATGAAATAGTTTTCTCCGGCAAATCTTTTTTCCCTACTGTCTGGGTCAGTGGTATTATTTCTATTTTTCCATTCAGCTCTATGACCAACAAACTAACTACATATTTTTCAGTCCATTAGCTTATTATCACAAATTGTAAAAAACTAAATTGACAATTCCTGTTTCACTTTCTTCTAAAATTGTTAAAAGCTCAACCTCCTTACTTGAACCAGAAGTGAGATTATTCGTAATTGAGAACACTCACCAATTATAAATGCTGGTTTCCCATTAGCCAACTCATTCAAGTCCTCGTTAATGAGTTCGATGTCTAAGCGGAGGTTTGACGATTCCCTGGAACACTGGCTTTCCCAATGGATGAACAAGACGGCTCTATAAATGCAAACGATGTGCACATACTTGTTTTTGTTTCTCCCACGAGGGACGGAAACAATCTGATATACCACCGGAACAAAGAGGAGACATAAACGGAAAATAGGGACTGGCACATTAATTGGGTTAAGAGGATGCTTCCAACTAAGGATTTAAAAGGAAGATTACAGTAGGCTAGATTACATGTACACTTGACATGATCATCACCACATGAAACAGACTTAATCTTATATTCAAAGGAGTACACAGAGCAGAAAGAAACAGGAAAATAAATCATATTGCAGGTGGTACGCCTGGTGAACCAATAGGTGAAAAACAAAACAAAAAAACAATCTTTTGACTGGTTACGCCTCAGACATGTCCAAGTAATGAATCAAGATACAATTGCATCACAAACATCTCCAAGTTTTGAATCAAGATACAAAGTAATGAATATGAAACCATCGTCACAATTCAAACTTGTTTTCAAACTGGGATCTTCTGGTTTTAAATACGCAAAGCAATTAAAACCAGTAAGGTGGGCTACAACTAAATTGGTGTTGCTAAACAAAATTACATCACAAGATTCACAACAATACACGATAACAAGCCACCTTGCTACATCTTAGAGAGATCCTAAGAACGGTCGGTAATGACTACATACCAGGACCACCTCCTGCTCTCTCTTATAGACAAAGGGAGGAGAAAGAGGGACAAGGGATAAATGTGATGAGAACAGCTGGATAGCATTTATCCGTCGAACCTGTTCTTTCATCACAATATGGAACACGCCTTCTGTGCCTTGCTCTTCTTTTTCTTTATCTTCGGTGGCTGGAGCACAACTTTGATGGCAGCATCAAAAACAGACTTCACATTCTGCAGTACCAAATACATATTCCACAAAAATCCTACATTAAGGAGCATATTAAAAAATAGGTACACGAAAGTGAGAATTTTTGGACATGTATGCATACCTCCTGTGTTTTTGAACTACATTCAATATAAGAAGGTGCCCCTATCAGCTTCCTTAGCTCCTCTCCCTTTTGAACCAAAAAAATAAAAATAAAAATTAACACAAAATGTTGTTCAATGAACTCAAAAGATAACTTACACAACAATATTGGGATATCTGAAGCAGTAGTAGTATATACCTGAGACGTTGTAATAGGCACAGCACCAGGATGGTTTTCAAAGAATTGCTTATCGTCCCGTAGATCTGATTCCATTATCATTACAAAGCATAAACAATAAGATTTTGATGTAGAAAAATCTAGGAGAACATATATTTCTGAAAAAACATTGCTCAACTAAAATAGATCAAACCAAACAGAAAATCAGAACGTTGGAACGGAATCACAATTATGAATTGGTAATAACTGTTATCAAATTGGTAATAACTAATAATTGTTTCAGACGTTGCCCTTCTATTTCTTGCAGAAAGAAAAAAGAAAAAGAAAAAAAGAAATGCACACACACAATGGAACAAAAGACAGCATGTACCAAACTAAATGCGATGACAATTAGCAAACAGGAAGATAAGAAGGCAACAAAGCTACTATTATTTATTCAGTAGACCGTATAAGAAACACAAGCATCTATATATGTTGATTAGAAAACATTTAACCTCATTTTTAGACTTAATTAATTTGTCAACATTCATAATATGTGTGTGTGGGTGGGGGAGAAAGATTCAAAATTTTGATCACTATACCATTTTAAAGTGGAGGTAGTATTAAATACAATGAATTAATTATTGTATTTCATGGGTGATTCTGACCCTAGTCATGGGATCCTTTTTTTCTATGTCCTTGCAGACTTGAACTGCTAAGGTATAGGAGATACCACTAGGGCTACGACCCTTGCTGGGGTCTAGTTGTGAAGCATCTACTATTTCGATTGATAAATTGATGTGATCCCTTTCATTTTGGGCTGTCATCCCAATCCAAACTAACTTGAATCAACTCAACTAAGTCTTTTCCTATCTAGGTGAAGTTTGATACACGTTTTTTTGTCATTCAGTTCTATCGAAGACCATAATCTCAGCCAAAGCACATGCTACCAATCTTCTCTTCACCTACAATTACCCCCAATATGGACCGCATCACTGATTCTTCTTTTCACAATTATCGGTCTCTTCACTGCATGTAACTAAACCAACTTGGTTGATTTTCTCTCATACTATCTCCAATGGGTGTTATTTCAACCGTTTCACGAATGTGTTCATTTCAAATTTTATCCATCTTGACACTCACATTTCAGTTTAAATGGAAAAGTCTTGTTGATATAGTTCTCTCTCCGACCCCTCGCCCTCCCTCTCTTTCCATACGTAAAACGAAATAATCCCATCTTGACTATATACTCAACCCCTGCAAGATTCCAAATGGGTGATGGATCCATGCCCTAAAAAGAAAACAATTCAAAATTAATCCATCGCCCAACAAAGGGATCCAACAAGCATTCTTGGATCATATAATGAAGCACGTGAATGGAACACCGCATACTCTTTTTTTCCTTTTCTCGGAACACCATATAATCAAAGCTAAACAGCATATAAAACAAGTCGTCTTCCAGCCAGCACCCAGAGCTTATATCATATCTTTTACTATAATTATCATGATTCATGACACTAATTGTAAGCTGAGAATAGCGATGGGACCATAACATTCTATGCACCAATAGAACTGGTAGTTTGACTAAGAGAATTTTTTATGAATGCACATTGGCCCAATATTCTACTTGGGCAGAGCTAAGCTTGGTAAAAATTTTGGGCCTAAATTTGGTTCAACCAAATCTGGAGCAATTCCATGCTCAACCTGAAGCTCAAGTTGGTGAGCAGCAATACAACAATGGTGTATTTATTACACATTTTCCATATTTATATTGTCTAATATAAATAAAGTTGGTGTCATTAGTTGTGCATTCTTCGACTCTCCGCGACAGCAGACGCTGAGTCAATACTTACTGATACACAAGTGAGAACCAGGAACGGCATGAGACTTGGATGAGACCCTAGGTTATTGGTTGAGTCAGCACATCCGAAGGTGTGCTGAAGTCAAGAAAATTTTACGGCTGCAATAACATATGTTACTTTATGCCCGATATGGTCCTGAGTCCGTTACACCATATCTGCATCTTCAAACCATTAAACACTATGTTATTGGTTGAATTTTAACAATCTACATATCAGATCTTGTGCCCAAGCACTGATTCAAGTAAAATGAAGAATTATTGTATCATTTCTTTATCCAATTATTAGAGAAATTTAGCGAAGATTGTTTCACATAACTAAGATTGAGCTCCAGATGAGGAATTCTCATTTGGGCTGAGCTTGAGCTTCCTTAGCCTGGCTCTAACCTTGCATGGGCACCAAATTTGACAGATATTTAAAAAATCATATTCTACCATCTATGGATTTCGAATTATATGCAGATGCAATTTTGACATTAGGGTTCTTATCTTTAAAAATAATTCAATAACTATGAAACTAAAATCATTTCTAATGCACTATCTCTTTCATAGAAAAAGAATGATATCTTTACCCATAGATAAAAGGTAGAAAAACCAAGAAATTTCAATTTTTTTAAAAAAATTCAGAACGTCTGTGCAATAATGAGGAAAGCTGAGAGAAAGACCAATAAAGGCAAAGGTTATAGTATTGAAAAAGAAATGATGAAGTACAACTATACATAAAGTGTCAGTCTATATAGAATAGAATGGTGTAGAGCAATGCTTTAAACCCAACTAGCTGGCGCAAAAGCTTCACTCAATTGAAGACAAATAAAGAAATACATATCAAGATGATTTTGGAATCTGCTTTGATAAGTGAACGTCAGAACTTCAATTAACACTGCTAAAGCAATTTTATTAAACTCAAAAGCAAATAAAATTGTAGTCATATATGTTTAAGCAGAGAGCTATATTATATTTCTGACATTAATATGCATATTCGAAGTCAATTACTCAAGAACACACAAGTCCCATGCTAAAAAGAGGCAAAACGAGCTAAAAAACACACACACACACATATATATATATATAATAAAAATAAAAAACAGCTCCCAAGGAAATATAAATTTGATGTTGTAAAGTTTTCATATGAGGATCAAATAAGATTCAAGGAATCTAACCTAGTTTTGTTCCAACAAGAACTATGGGGACGCCAGGGGCATAATGCTTCAACTCAGGAATCCACTGTAATTGAAGACAAAATGAAACAATTCTTTAGGATGTGGTAGATAAATAATAATTATTATTATTTTATAATAAAAGAGTTTATGATGAAATCTCTTGGTGGGAGAGACCGGTCTTCCATCTAGTACCATCAAGCCCTCACCTTCTTGGAAACATTTTCATAGCTAGCCTTGCTAATGAGAGAGAATGCCAGAATGAAAACATCCGCTCCACGATAACTCAAAGGTCTTAATCTATTGTAATCCTCCTGTCCTGTTAAACATGATAAAGATTTCAGATCCATGTGAAAATATATATCCACTCTCACCAAGACACATATTATATTGGATTGTTCAACTAAACAAAGAAAAGAAACAATGACGTTGTGAAATTACCAGCAGTATCCCACAATCCTAGGTTAACAGTACTCCCGTTGACAACCACATTTGCACTGAAATTGTCAAATACAGTCGGCACATAATCCTGCTCCCATTAGATACAAAAAACACAAAGTTACAAAATATTCAAAAGTTTGGAAAAGTCTCCCTAAGCCTTTTACAAGTATGACATACAGCCATAGAATCTCAATAATTCTTAGTGGTTCCGTTACATGTTGTCTATAGAGAAAACCCCATGCACGATGAAAACTCGAACCACGTGATGTGCAATAAAATATGGCATGATGAAAACTCGAACCACACGATGTGCAATAAATTCTGCAGCAAATCCTCAAAAAAACGTATGTGTCCCACAACCCATACCATACAACTACTTAATATCAATAAAACCTCAAATCATAGAACAAACATATTTGGCAAAACTGCATTGTATAACTCCTTTTCCATAATTAAGCTGGAAATAAACACAAGACCCAATAAAGAAAGCAATTTATTTCACAGAATTCATGAAATTTTGGCAAAATTCAAAGCCAAATAAGCTAGTGGTGAACCCTATAGATACAGAACTCATACCATACAACTACTTAATATCAATAAAACCTCAAATCAAATTGTTCATTTTCCCCACAATCATAGAATAAACATATTTTGGCAAAAATGCATTTTTTTATAATTCTTTTCCATAATTGAGCTGGAAAGAAACATAAGACCCAATAAAGAAAGCATTTTATTTCACGGCATTCACAAAATTTTGGCGAAATTCAAAACCAAACAAGCTAATGGCAAACCCTAGAGATTCGGAACGAAGACTCACCGTGGGGAAAGTGTTGCTGGTATAGGAGATCAAGAGACAAGTTTTACCCACAGCTCCGTCACCGACGGTGACGCACTTTATGAACCTCGAAGCGCTCATTTTCACCCCCCAGAAACCTTCAGATCTTCTTCAGAAGACCTGAATCACACTCTCTCCAACGCGTTCTTCGCTCCTATTCCTTCCTTCAGTCACACATCGATAAAAAAAAAAAAAAGAAAAAGTGAGAGACCACGAAAACAAGAACGCGTCTCGACGAAAAAACCCTAACCCTAACAAAGAAACGATGGCCACAAATCCAGATTTCCTGAAAATGAAGGAAGAAATGGAGCCCGACACACTAGGAAAGAGTTGATTAATCGGAAATGGAGATCTAGAGAGAGAGTGGGGGAGAGGGTTACACAGAGAGAGAGGATGTGTGTATGTGAAACCTTTATTTCGCCGGGAAACAATGCCGTTGAAGCGTTCGCATCAATAAAACCAACCGTTAGTGGCTCTGATTGGCTCATTTTAACGCTTTTTTCGTGGATTATATTTTGTGTTTGGTTTTGGTACTACAATTTACCAAACACAACTTTAAGTATTGTTATTTATATTTGAAATTAATAATTTACTACTAATACTCACCAAAATGGAACACCACTCATAAATTCTCAACTACTCCTTGGATGGCCTGCCGCTTTTGGTAGATGTTAGATGAAATTTCTCATTCTCCTTTTTTCTTATTATTATTATTAATATTTTTATTATTATTATTATTTTTTCCACGACTGTTGTACCGAACTTTCTAGAGCATCCCTATAATCCACTTCCGGCATATGCAATACTCCCATCCTAAGTACACCGAGCAACTATCCAAAATTTTGTTGGAACGCCCAAAGAAAAATTGAACTCCCAACTTTTAATGTGTGAAAAGTCTTTGTCATTAGATTATTTTTTATGACGTGCTCTCTCTTTATTTATTTATTTATTTTAATATTTTTGTAAATCCTCCCATGTAAGGTAGAGGTTCGGTCTAATTGACATTCTTTTTTCTTTTCGATTTAAAATATTGATAACGGTAGATCGAGATCAATGCTCAGAACTTTGCTTTACAAGGAAAATTCATGTCCATTTTACAAAAGTTTGATAGAAATTTGGATACTTTAATGTATAAATACATGTGCACACACATAAATATATGTTCTATTTAGGCATGTTGACAAAATTTTAAGATTGTTCGAGAAATAAAAACTATGCTTAATCAATCAATAAGACGGTAATTTAAAGTACGTAAATTTTCGTTTTGACAAAAAGAAGAAAGAAACGAAGAAAACTCGATTTTAACCCTTCGAGTCTCTGCTTTGAAAGGTGAGAAACTATTCTCCCAACATGAGCTTGCAAAACAAAAATTACAACTCAAGATATTTAAAATCAATATGAGTTTCACACTGCATGCAATGCAATGCAACTAGCATTGCCCTACTCCTGAGAGGTTGGATTTGAAGTTCAATGAAGCAACATAACATACCCAACCAAGTTTTTGGATGCCTACAAGGCTATAAAGAGATGAGCAAGTGTCAAAACTATTCTCTCTTTTCCACTAATTCCATCATTTTCCTCCTCTTCACACCTCTAAGAACAGCTACACCGTCATCACACAAAACCCTAGAAACAGTAAAATCGTTTCGTTTCTCAATTTCCAGGTTTTTCACATTTTCATGGTTTCCCCATAGGACCAGCGCTCTCTGTTGTTGGATCGAGAAATTACGAAGGTGCAATTTCTCCGGCCGGGTGATTGCACCCTCATACACGCGTTCAGAACCAGCATGACAATACAAATTCATGAACAGGAAGGAAAAACGAGACAAAGTAAGAATAATAAAATTATCTGGAAATAAATTTTATTGACCAGGCAATGCTATTGCTTTCTAATTAGAATGGTTTATGAGATGCATGTGGTAGAAACTTCTACCAATGGATATATGGGAAAGCCCACAAGAAGAAGAAGACATTCAAAATATAGAGAAGAATAACTAATTATGAATATATAAATACACCACACACAGATGTGAAAAAAAAAATTGCACATAGCTTGGTAACTGTCGGCCAGACTTGTACTCATGACTTGCAAAATGCATGGAGTGTTTCATCGAGGGCCTTTCTGTCGTAATCCCCGGTAAATACGCAATTACCTAGAGGACCTTTCAGAAGTATGAGCCTTAGTAGCCCATCAGCTACCTTCTTATCAACCTGATATTCGAAATAACACAAAAAAAAAAAAAAAAAAAGAAAAACATCAAAGATGGCAGAAAGAATTAAAACTTCATGACATAATGTTGACAATTTAATCTCCCTACCGCCATGACAGACTTGAACATCTCCACGGTCATTGATTCGGGCGGAGTAGTGGGTAGCTTAGCCTGTTGTAAGATGTTGTGAACTCGCTTCACAATCGAATCATCAATCCAGCCCATGCGATGGGACATGTCAACAGCCATGACCTGAACATTGATACACAACCTTCTTTAGCATCAACATGTCACAGTCAAAACTACAAAATCTCCCTCTCTTTGACGAATGGGGTTATTTGAAGAAATACAACGGATGCAATACCATGCCAGCTGCAACAGCTTCTCCATGAAGCCACTGCCCATAGCCAAAACCAGTTTCCACTGCCTGAAATAGACACGAGATGAGAAAAGCATAATTTCAAGACGGAAAAGATAAAATAGCATGTGATAATATATAAGGCCTCAATATGAAAGGATTTCTTAAAAGCACCACAAAATCTGTGTTTGAACTCAATTTCCCTTTTAAAAAGAGGCGCACCACAGACTTTACTAAGCAGGCCATGTTTTATCGGCATTAGTGGCAAACAAGTAATCATAGATCTCCTGGAAGCCCAACCCTGGGTTGTTGGGCAGTAATATCACAAACACAAAAGGGTAAAACATAATGGTAAATAATATTTTTCCTAGTACAGACTTCAAAAGCAAGTGTGCATGATTAAGGACCTCCACTGCATATCATAATCTTTCTGACACAGCCAGCTTGTCCAGGAAGACCATTAAGAAATGATGCAATAAATTACCACCTGAATGCAACTCGGTTATGGAAAGCTAAGAATCCCCCCCCCCCAAAAAAAAAAAAAAATGAAAAAATGAAAAAGAAAAGAGAGATGGATAACCATTCATACATGTATAGACACTAGTAAAAAAGAAAAAAGATCCAGATTGTACCAGTTGTAATTAAACTCCAGAGAATTTACATGAATGGCACAGTCTATAAACAACTATTATGAAGAACTATGTATCGCCTTTGCCAATAACTTAATTACTTTTTTATCATAACCTGTCATAGTACTTCCCAAATTCAAAACGTAAATACTTAGGATGGGTCTGAGCCAAGCCAAGTTTAAAAATGTAGGAGCTTGGCTCAGTCGACCTTGGTTCCAACTCAGCTGAAACTCAATCATATTTGATTGAGCTGAGCTCGACAAGAGAATGAGCAGCTCAGCGCTCCTTGCTTGCTTGGCAATACATAATATTGGCAGGCGCCAAATCACTTTTGATCATTATAACTCTTAACATTTACAAGTTTAACTTATTGACTATCAAAGATTGCCACCACTGATAGCTCGTATTACCAGCCTGTTAAGCCAAGCTGAGTTGAGCCAAGTGTCAATTGAGCTCGGCTTGACAAAAGTGATGAGCTTAAATATATGTTAAAGCTCTGCTTTGTTATACACAAGAAATGAACCCATCCCAAATGATATTTTCCAAACCCAGTTAGGTCAACTTGGTGATCAGATAAAACAAGCTTGCTTTTAGTTTAATAGGTACTAAAATTAACATAATGGAGCGTTGATTTCGTGTAGGCTTCATTTCAAACAAACCCATCATAAACCACCTTCCAATCTAAGCTCGCTCTTTATCACCAACCCCAAATGATTAAATCCATAGCCATAAAATAAACTTGCCAAAGCAAGCAGAAGATTGTATGACTGCTCTCAAATCCTCAGAGAAGGCCACCAATTTGGAGGGTGGGACTGGGGAGGGTGAATTCACAGATAAATCTATTTACAGTACACAGCAGCTTTGCGAAGGCAAAAGCATATACAGATGAGCTAGACGATACAACCTTAGTGGCAAAAGGCATAAGCTAGAGCACAAAGATGTTTTCTGATGCAAACTGACATAGCACATACATGTCATCCAGTAATTAGTTAATGCTATGCGTGTTTCAATACTGATGAGCTAGACGATACAACCTTAGTGGCAAAAGACATAAGCTAGAGCAAAAGATGTTTTCTGATGCAAACTGACATAGCACATACATGTCATCCAGTAATTAGTTAATGCTATGCGTGTTTCAATCATTTATTATTTTCCTTTTGGTTTTAGGAGATTGACGTGAAGATCAAAGACCATCAGGCCCAGACATCAGAGTGAAATTCACCAACATTCAAGTTTTGAGAAGCATCTTAATCCCCATCTCTATAATTTTGTGACCTATTTGATTAATTTTCTTATTCAGTTCCCCGTATTTTGGGTCATATGTTACACTTGATAAAACCAAGATCATAAAATCCAACAAAAACCATCAACTCAATAAATCATAATTGCATATTTCCGATAAAGAAAAATTAAAGCAGAAAGAAACAAGCAGGTTTCACAAGCTAAAGAAAGGATATGCTCAATTGCACACCCTAAAACTTACATGGCCGAAAGTATGACCCAAGTTCAATGTTGCCCTCAGTCCACCTTCCTTCTCATCTAAAGATACAACCTCAGCCTTGTTTTCACATGAACGCTTGATTGCATAAGTTAATGCATCAGGGTCCCTGCAAAGGATCAACTGATATTCATGCCTGAAATTCTTCTAGAAGCCATAGTATTGGCAAAAAGGAACAAGTAAGGTACATTATGAAAGTAATTTGGTATTATCCATCTTTGCTTATATGCCAACACATGCCATAAACCTTTATTGGGCTGAAAACAATGACAACCAACAAATTCCTGAAGGCCTAAAATAAAAGATTTTTTATTTTTTAACTTCATTTATTCAATAGGTTTTACATTCCAAGAGATGTTTCTATCATGTTTCTTATTTCAAGAATAAAAATCCACATGCCAAATCACTAGGTGTGGTAGCTTCTCAAATGTTCTCTATGAAGGTATCAAGTTAATTCCTTGAAAAAACAGACGAGTACATTCAGACTGTGAGAAAATCAAGGTTAAGGGGCAATTAATATTAGAGTAGAGAGAACATTTAAATAAGTTTGAATCTTTATCAGATCATTAAAACCCCACTTTCCGAAGATCACTTCCTTCTCTTCGGGATCGAACATGGGCAGATGCCTACTTCTTGAGCAGAATTGTACAAAAATGACACAGTTATTGTAAACAACTAATTTTTTTTCCAAGAAAAAAGGTGGTTGTAACAATAAAGCTATATTTTACCTTGCCATCAATGCCTGCATGTTCTTCTCTTGCCACTCAAAAAATTCAGCATCTCTAATAAGCCCATACTTTATGACCTCAGCAAACCCCGATGCTAATTCTCTCTCGGGCAATGTGTTCAGTGTGTCGGTGTCTATAAGCACACACTGAGGTTGGTAGAATGCACCAATCAAGTTTTTCCCAAGGCGGTGATTTATTCCAGTTTTTCCCCCAACAGAAGAATCCACCTGGAGGGAGGAGAGAAACAAACATTTGAAGGCATCTGAAAACTAGATAGATGCTAATTATTTCAAAGAGAACAGAACAATGGATCTGAAAGTTGCAGCAGACCTGTGCCATTACAGTTGTAGGAATTTGAATGAAATTAACACCACGGAGGAACGATGCAGCAGCATATCCACACATGTCACCAATGACGCCACCACCGAGGGCAATAAATGTACAACGTCGGTCCAACCGTGATTCAATAGCTTTGTCAAATACTTTCATGAGTGTATCCTATTAAAGCATAAATACAATGAAGCATTCACTTTAACCAGCATGCATGAAATGAAATGTTATAAAACCTCACTTATCCGAAAAAAGAAGAAGTTATAAGAACCTCAAGACCCTACCATGTTTTTGTACTTCTCACCATCTGGTAAAATCACACTCTCAACAGAAAGGCTTGGATTTCCATTTGTCAAAGCACTAACAACTTTATCCAGATATATAGGCGCAATTGTGGTGTTAGTGACCACAAGAGCTTTCTTTCCATGGACATGCCTACAAAATAGAGATGAGTTCAAATAAACCACATAATCAGAGAGAACATAGAAAAAAACCTTGAATTACAAAACACTAATTTCTTGTACTTCTCTAAATGATTGCCAACAATATCGAATGAGGTGGGGAACTCTTTCCAATAAAAAAATAAATAAAAAAAGACCAATAAACTCGCATTCTTACATTTAGGTTCCTATAAAATCAAAATACAAGCAGGAAGGAGGAACGAAATAAAATTCCCCAGCCAAAGGGTCACCCCCATGGGACAAACCAGCTATATACCCAATGCCAGTGCCTATTTAATCTGAAGATGAGGGCATACATTATTTGAAGGACTTGAGAAGGACATAACGCATCCCAAGAGTTAAGGGACCCTGCTATGTCAATTATAAGGATCTTGGAGAGATAGAGAAGCATTCTGAGACGGCAACTAAAGAGGACACTCGTGCATGACTACCCAACGAGCCAAGCCCTTGAGGCAGAGTGAAGCCTTTGAGATACTGGATCTCCTGACTACTCCATCTATTTTTTCTCCCCTCATTAAGTGAACCAAACTATTAAAAATGAGAGATTCAAAGCTTCTCTTCCCTTCCCTTCCTCCTAATCAAACTATATGGTACTTCTTACTCAATAACATCATATATCATTTGAATACAACCACAAGTACGGAAGACCAGCTCTAATTAGCAGCTTAGTGATCCTGCACCCAATAAACCTGGGGAGGTCTTTCAGGAACCAATAAATAGGGGGGAAAAAATGTTCACTCTCAATTTCTACTTTTTTGTTCTTACACATGATTGAAATCTCAACTTTCATCTCCCAAATGATTGTATGATATCATCATCATCCTTGCCTTTATCCCATATAAATGGTGTCAGCGACATGAATCCCCTTTTCCATTATTTCCTCTTAAACACCATGTCTTCTCTTGAATTTAATTTTTTAAAATCGTTTTTAATCATAAACTTTGGTAGGCCTCTTTGTCACTTGCCTTACAACTCTTCTTCTAGGCCATACCACCCAAGTCTATTTTCGCTAATTTTATCATTGTACAACATATATTATCATATTTGAAATTACTTATCCAAAATTTTTTTTATCATATTTGAAATAAAACCATCAAACAATAGAAAGTTTCAATTCGCCTACTGTTTTTGTTTTTGTACAATTTCTCACCCACTTAAAAGTGGCAATTAGGTTTCAATTTCTTTCTCTCTGCTTTGGTTTCTCTGCAAGCAAACAGAGGTAAGAAATTGAATACAGCGTTAACTTATTAACAAGTTTAGAACTTTAGACATAAGTCACTGGTAGTTTATCATCTGAAAGCAAATGCCATTCAAAAATTCTCCAAGGCATACAAAAGAAAGAAAAAAAATTGATTAGACAAACATTATCCTTGTAATATATGAACCAAAACGTAACGCTAATTGGAATCGAAATGATAAATCGATAAAGAAAAAATTCAAATACCTCTGGAGAAGATCAGGTTGATCAAGAAGTCCAGACCCGATATAAATTGGGTAGCTCCGGTCGCCCAAATCGACCTCGACGATCGTCGGAACACTAGAACTCGTCTTACTCGGTTCCATCACCTGAGTCGAACTCGCAGATACCTTCAATCGCATTGGATCCACATCCAACACAGAACCACAGCTCCGATTCAACCCAACAAAACTCGAAGAAAGAAACGAAGAGCGAAGAAAAATTGAATTGGAGTTACGAAAGCGGAGAAAGATGCCGGGAGAGTTGGATATAGAGTGAGAGGAGTGTTTGGAGGATTTTGCAGAGAGATAGATGTGAGAAATGGTTGCAGAGGATGCCATGAGAGGAGAGGGTTTGTTAGAGAGAGAAAGTGTGTTGGAAAGAGAGAGAGAGTTGGTGTCTGTCTCGGATTACGGCATTTTGTTGTTGGCGTTCGATAAAGATTTTGGGTTAGGTAAGAGACGACCGGTGAAGGATGGCTATGGGACATACCTGTATTTCAGGTTTAGACTTTCTGGTACAAGTCCACCAAGCACTTAACAAAGGTTATCAATAATAACATTTTATGGTGACAAAATAATAACAATAATAATAATAACATTATATATATATATAAGTTGTTTATTTTTTATTTTAATTTTTTTCAGTGACATTCAGTATACAGTTGGGCACATGCTCTCGCTCCCATGCTTAGCGTGTGATTTCGCTCTGATTTTCACTATTTGTAATTTAATTTTACCGTTTTCGTGCTCCCGATCTTGAATTCGCTTACGTGACTTAACAATCCCTTGCCCCCACATGCATGAAACAATTATTGAAATTTTTTCTCCAACTCAAGATTTCCAAAATATATATTTTTTATTTATATATAGCACTTTAATTAGTAAATACAAAATTGGATACAACAATATCCTCTCTTTTTTTTCTTTTCTTTTTTTCCTTCTTATGAAGTAAAGTCCAATTGGACAATTGTTAAAGTGCAATTTGCAATTGGAGACATGCTATTTTAAAAATTATCTTACTTAGTAAAAATAAAATAAAAAATAGTTGTATCAGCGTGGCTAGATAAAATTTGCATTTATCATCATAATATTAAAGATAATGAAATATAAATGTTTCTAAAATTAAAATCTGCAGTAAAATGAAGTGAATATTTTTGTATGTATTTATACATAATGCATGCTTCAAGGCTTTCTCCTCACATTGAAGTATGGACACTCTAATTAAACATTAGAATGTACAAATTTCAAGCCCTATAAACAATACAAACCTAAGGTTACAAGACTACACAAGCATTGGGGTTGTCATCACTGAACACATTGGTATACTTCACTTCGGTAGAACTGGCACGTGCGAGGCCAGAAGTCTGGGGATCCTCGTTCGCGTTTCGCACATAGCCAGGTAGGGCTTTCATGTCGTACACCCCAGGGTCCTAAGGGTGCGCCACCACATCGTACGACACGTGGCTTTCTTCCCCGTCCGAGATGATGCCTGACACGTTGCAAGGCCTTTTTTGGGTCCACGAACCCAATCTCCGTAAGCTTGTGCTGCTTTGGCTCCACCGTTGCTTGTGTCACCCCTTTCATGGCTTCCACTGATTTCCTCACCCTTCACAATCAATATTCACCTTTATCTTCACCGTCCGATCAAAACATCACAAAACACCTAAAAACCCATGATATATTCATATAACACAAACACACATATTACGCATATATATAGGTATATATAATGATAAAATTTCAAAGTTAGATAATTGAAAATAATAAAAATTAGGGAAAACTACACTTACATAGAGTTAACAGCTTTAAATAATAAAATGGTCTATTTTAAAAGTTCGTTTTTCACTTTGGTTGAATTAAGTGAAATAATTACATATGCATCAATAACTTTTGTTTGAGTCCAAAATGTCCCTCCAAACACTTATTCCAAAACACTAAAAATTATTCCCCTAAAATCAAGTACTTTCTTTAAGTAATTTATTTACTTGAAAAATTTAAGAAAATAAGATTTTTCTTTTAACTTTGAACCATATTGCTGCAACTTTCATACACATACACACAAAAACTTATACAAATAATAAAAAAGATTCAATATAGTAAAAAATGGGGCAATCAAAGGTTAATCCCCAAAAAGAAAAATATAATTAAACTCAATAATATATAAATTGTCTTTGTTGCGGTGCATGCCTTGAGATGATGATCAATTTTTTAGCTCAATTAATTATACTTGTTTTATAAATAAATTTAAAAAAAAAAAAAAAATGACTGCTGGTATACCATTTACTGAAGCAACCATTTAGTTTTTCACGATTTCCCTATATGTGTACTGTATGTGTAGAGATCTCTGTGTGTGTGTGTATATATATATTCATAGGAAAGTTTTCACATTTGCAAGTTTATATTGGTATGAATTAGGATATATGGTTAAAATTATGCATATATATATATAGGATGAATTTCCACTTACCAAAATAATATATATATATATATATATATATATATATATATATATATATATATATGCTGTTTTTTATTTTATTTATTTTGGTAATATATACACCATTTGCAAAAATGCTAGGTTGAAAGTCAAACTCAAAAATCTTATTTTTCTAAATTTTATGAATGAAATAATTATTTGATTTAGGAAGGATATTTTGGTATTTTGAAATAAGAGTTTGGAGGAAATTTTTGGACATAAATAATAGTTATTTATGCATATGAAATTATTTTACCACCAAATTGACAAGTTAACTTTAAAAATAGTCCAATTTGTTATTTAAAGCTCCTAAATCTACTTAAGTATAATTTTCCCAAAAAATTACAACTAATTATTCAGCCCCTTCCATCCTCGTAGGTTCGTTCTGGTCACAAAGATTGATTCAAATTGGATTCTAAAGGATAATAAATTGCTCAAGTGAGCTTACCCTTGTTGGTTTTGTTATTTATTTTTGGATATTTTACACAAACCTCCCTATAGTTTGCCATAATTACAGGGACCTCTCATTGGGTTTGAAAAATTACTCGGACCTCCCCTGATTTTGAAAATATCCTACATGGACCTTCTTTTTATTAGAGTCAACGATAGTCAAGAATGAAAATTGATGACGTCGTCTACTATTTTTACTAAAATCCCTAAAATACCTTTGTCTATATAATTTTATATTATGGTTTATATATATATATATAAACCATAATATATATCTCTCTTCACTTTCTCTCTCTAAATTATTCAACCGGCGACAGAGAAAGCTTCCAGCCATGAGTTCGGCGATGGCAATGATCAGATTCCAATGAAGAATAAAACTTGAAATTAGGGTTCGACCTATAAAGAATTTATATGCCCTTTATATCATCAAACTTCAAATCCACCTTTTTATCACTGGGTTTCAAGCTAGGGTACGTAACTGCCTCGACCCATAAAAGATCTGGGTTGATTTTCGCACCTCGTCTCTTCTTCTTCGTTGTTTTCCCCTCTCTCTCCCTCTATCTCATTCTATTTTTCCTCTCTCCCGGTTACGATTCATTGGTGTTCCTTTCTCTCTCCAATTCTCAAATATATTTGTGGGTAGTGGTCATTTCAGTTAATATTTAAATTGAGATTGGTTACTAAATCTCTAGCCTGGCTTTTTTTTTTTTTAGATTTCTTTATATATTTACCAAATGAGGGATACATCAATTAATTAACCAAGAGCCAGAATTTTGAATGATAAATTTTTTTTTTTGTTTTTTGGGATGAGTAAATCATTGTATATAAAGAGATAATAAGGCTTTAAGCCAGGTAGTCAAGCCAACAAAAACTACATAAACAGACCTCTATAGATGACAATCAACAATAGCAACAACAACAATCAAAATCAAGGCAGAATGCTAGAATGAGAGAGAAGAGAGAAAACCAAGAACAGATGATGAATAGGAAGAGGGAATGAACCAGAACCGAACCCATGGTTGGAGAGAGAGAGAGAAAAAAAAAAAAATAGACCGATGAAAAACAAGAATACCAAGAATACCAATAGCGGCTCTCTCTTCCTAAACATCCCTTATTTGAAGCATCAAAGGGAGAGAGAAAGATGGGGAAATAGAGAGAGAAATTATATATATATATAGTCTTGGGGCGAGGAATTAGAATGGCTGACGTGGAGAGAGAAAGAAAGGTATAGAGAGAGAAAATGTATAATTATAGTCTAATCAATAATATATATAAGGGTAGTTTCGTAATTTATTGTTGTAATTGGAGGGTATTTCAGTAATTTTGACAGCTCCGTTAGTGTATTTGACGGTCCGTGACGTCCGTCACACATAAGGGAGGTCCGTGTAGAATATTTTTAAAATTAGGGGAAGTCCGAATAATTTTTCAAACCCGAGGGGAGGTCCCTGTAATTATGGTAAACAATAGGGGAGGTTTGTGTAAATTATCCTTTATTTTTTTATATAATTCAACGCCGGACACATATAGTTCATTTGTCTCACACGAACAGAATCATTATCAAGAAAAATTTATGAAAATAGCTCCACAAGAAATTCGAATTCCTAAAACGTGCTCATTGGTTTCTCTCCATTCATCAGATATATTCAATTTAAAAATGTAGAGTTTTTGAATGTCCATTTCATTCAAATTATTCATCCTCAATAATTACTAGATTCAAAATCAATTCTACTGGATACATCTGACCGTTACATTTTTTATGCATTCCATTAGTGTCAAAAGCAAGCATTCGACACTTCAATTAGTGTCGAAAACATTTTTTTTTTCTTCTTAAAATAATATGCATATTTACCGGACTAGGGTTTGATATCTTCATTAACCTTTATTATGCATTTTGACGTACCGAATTGACCCTATGCACATAGCTTCAATTTCACTTGTATTTAAGACTTATGATATAACTATTAGGGATTGTAGTTTAGTGGTATTTCTTCATCTTTTAAATTTAATAATTGACAATTCAAGTTTCGGGACAAAATAAGTGTGTGAATATATTTTTTACCAAGCTTTTTTACCCAAATATAAAAAGGCAATAAGAACTTTTAGGCTATGAGAGTCAGTGAATTAAACGTACCAAAAGTTAGTGATCAAACATTTTTAAACTGCTACATTAGCTTATAAGAAAATTTGAACACTTAGGGCTTGGGCCAGCTCCAGCCCATTTTTACATTCTCTAATAAATTTGCTTGATCATTCCAACAAAAAAAAAAAAATAATAATAATAATAATTTGAATACTTTAATTTTTTATACATTGATGAATCGAGTTTGATCCGTCGTGTAATATTTTTTGATCGATGACATAATTTTAAAAGGAGTAAGATTTAATGTAGCAATTTATTTTTGCATTCAAAATGGGCCACAATATGTTTCACTAAACTGTGAAATTGATTTTATGAGTCTTGGATAAAGACTCAATTCACTATTAAGGGCGGCGAAGAGGTAGGCTTTGGTGGGTGATCCACTAAAAAAAATTACTATACTAATATTTGTCCAGCAAAAAAAAAAAAAATTTATAGAATTAGCCCCCAAGACAACTCAGTCACCGTACTAAAATAAAGGCCAAGCTAAATAAGTCAACAGAGACGGGACTGGCCCTGACCAAGGCAACAGAGGCAGTTGCTTAGGGCCTCAAAATTTATAGGCCCATGCATTATGGGCCACCAGAAAAATGGAGAAGACTCCAGCCCCTCAACAGTTGCCGTAAAATTCCTTAACTGATAGTATTATGGTACAGGTCCACGTCATACCTAAAACAAGCCTCCACAACCGTCAATTAAATTTTAATCCAAAGGCTATCATTCAAACTTTTTCAAGGCTGGATCGATCCGTATCATACCTAAACAAGCCTCCACAGCCGTGGATTAAATTTTAATCCAAAGGCCATGGACAATGGGCCAGCAGAGAAAGAAAATACTTTTTAGGGCAAATCATTTCAGCCTCCCCAATCGCCTCCATCTCTATTCCCGTTCTCAGATGTGAACTTGCCCCCTCTCTCTCTCTCTGCAACTGCAAACTACAAAATCTACAAGAATCAGAAGTTCAAAACCCATATATTTCAGTTTATCTATCTGTCTGCAAGAATCGAAAGTTCAGAACCTATTACCTATATCCAAACCCATTCGGCATATCATTTCAGATTGTTCCAAAAATCAAAACCCATATCTTTCAGTTTCCATCGCCCGCTGCCCCAGTTCGGGTTCGCCGTTCGCAAGCTTCAACCGCTGGCCCGCTGTCTCTCAACTCTCAAGCTTGCCTCCCTCTCTCTCTGCAACTGCTAACTTGTATGTATGGGTTTTGTTTTAATTTTATTTTATTTATTTATTTCTAAATCAACTAATCAAGGGCTGTAATTCTTGTTTTGCAAACTAAATCCTATTTGGTGAAATTTTTTATGATCTTTTTTATATATATATATATATATATATATATATATATACAATGTAAAGTAACAAAATTTGCATTGCATTTTGAGGGATTTTTTTTTTTTATTTTTTATTTTTGGTTGTCAATTATGTGTACAAGAAAATTTGAATCCGGGCATGAAAAAAGGAAAAAAAAAAAGAATCTGAATTGGATTAGAAATCTGCAGAGATTGAATCTGAAACAATTTTTATTGACATGCCAAGCTTTTTGAGGATGGGAACTTTGACAAGCAAAAGTAGTTAATATAGGGTAAAGCTCTAAAGTTACTTCTTGAAAATTAAAATACTTACAAAAAGCATGATTTTGAGTGAATTCCATAGTGTTGGAAGGGGCTTGCCATGAACTATCTCACAATCTACTTCCACTAGTAGATTCTCAAATAGTAGATTCTCATTTTGTCTTCTTGTTCTTGATCGATATACTACTTTCTTTCAATTAGCAGATAGATTCAATTTGGTGTGTTGTCATTCGTCTTGTGGATATAATTTTAAAATTTATTTTTAATTCATCCTATCTTCAGTAGTGTTTCTATTTATTTGCGATTTATTTATTTTTATTTAATTTGCAGATTGTTAGATTTCGTGTCTCTCTGTTTTTATTCTTTTATGTGTATTACTATTACCCCTGATGAGCATCAATTTAATTTAACCATTTTTTTTATTCATTAATATTTAATTTGGATAATGATTTTTATCTTTTCAATTCTGTTGTTGTTTGTTGTTTTAAAAGATAGGAGATGGTGCACAAATGTGTGGTTTGTCGTTGCATGGAGCGGCCATGCGTGGCAATCTGTATATCTGCTGATTACTTGCCGGAGGAGACCCACACAGGCTTTTTATGAAATCGAAAGTGTCTACACATTGAAAATATTCACTAAACGCTTGCAAGACGTCGAAGTGCAACATTGCCAACGTCTTGTAGATTCTATGGCTCTACAAGCTAGAGCATTAATTAGAAATTCAATTTCTGGCTGGACAGATTAAATTGAGGAGAATCGTGCCTGGTCATCAAACATGAAGCGACTATTACTCAACTTCGAGAGGAAATAGCTCAACAAAAAAATACCAGTGATGGAAATGATGTCCAGGCACTTTAGAGGCACTTGACAAATAGATTGAAGCAGATTGTGCATCCAAAGACCTGGCAATTCAAAAACAGAATGCTGGTATTGAATACAATGGTTGAATATGAAGTCATGATAGCCCATTTGAAAATTGCTAATCAACAACTTGTAGCAAAATCTGCATTGAAGGATGTTACAATTCAGAAACTGGAAGTTGGAAGTGAAATGTTTCTTAATTTCACAGAGGAAGAGATCCCTGCTACTGCACCAGCAATGGGTCAAGATACTGGTTTGGGTTTCAGCTTAGATGATCTGGATGATGGTTTGGGGGTTGGTGTGGGTTTCAACTTAGATAATCTGGATGATGATGTTGCTAATGGAACAGGAGCTAGTGGTGAAAATCCAGCAGCAGCTAGAGGTGAGAATCAAGAACAAGGTGATGGTGAGGTTGTTGGGAAACGTGCTAGTTTAAAAAATTTTCTGAGTGATTTGCTTACATAGATCTTGATTCATCACATAGACAAGTTTTATGCAAAAATAAAATATGATGTATCATTTAATTAACAGATTGAATACTTACATCAAAGGTCTGAGCAAACCTTTAATTCTTTCCTCTAAAGTGAATCTTCTCACTTATTGTAGATCTTTTAGCAAGATGCCTTCTCCTCGGATCTCCATCTTCTTAGTAATTGTTTTGCCTTTAGAAATCACTCATAAGCCTTCATGAATGACCTTGGAAAACTAGGCTTGTGGGAGCCTCCATTAAATGACAACATAAACCCTAATTTTTTAGAGAGAGAAAATATATTCCTTTTTCCTTCTCATCAAAGTCACCCCTAAAAAATATACATAGACCATGTATATTTATAAGCAACATAAAGATAAAGAAAAGGAAATAATAAATCTTTCTCAATCTTTAATTCACATGTCCCAAATCTAATAGGATTCTAATATCAAGTTGGGTTACGAGTGAGAATCCTTTGGGCTTATTATTTTATTGGCTACAATGAATTAATAATTGACCCGGTTCATGAACCCAATTCAATTAATTCATAAATTAATTTCTACTCCACTAAAAGAAATTAATTGAACTCCAATTAAATAATAAATAACCTCTAAGTCAATGTTGCACTTTGACCCCTCTATGTATAATTAGTTGTCGGATAAATAAAGTCATCAATCCGACTACTTAATTATTATATTTTATTTTGGTACCATTGATTATTTCTGGCTCGATCACAATAAAACATTTGTTTGACAAAAATAATAATTTAAATAAATAAATATATAATAAATCATTTTGTCTAAAAATACACGAAGGCCTTCGAATTTACTTTGTGATCAACCATAATCAATACAAAATAAATACAAGTAGTAATGATGCAAATATTGAAAATATAACCCACTAACTATTAATTACATAACTACCCAAAGTGTCAGTCTAAGGATCCCGAAGAATCCGCCGAACAAATCAAAGTAATTATTAATTAATAAAAGAGTCTATACTTTTCTCATACTTAAGAGTCAAATGCCATGACGGTGATAGTGAGCAATTGCATACGACGGCTCTCGCAATATATCTCAACCTAATCCGAATCCAGTTCAAGTCTTAATTAATTATAAGTCCATCCATAATTACCGACTATGACCAATTTATGATTACTATTTATATTCATGTATTGATCGCCATCACATACATATATAAATATTTTTTATAATTAAGTGGATACTATCAATTTTATAATGAATCGAAACATAATATATTGAATTCACCAATTGTGTAAAGCATAAATATTTCAGAAACGTCAGGAACATATGTCACTATAATCCAAATGGGAATTTGCTACGCCAGAGCATATAAATCCCAACAGAGGTGCCAAGAGCCTAGAGGGGAGACCGCTTATCATTTCCGTCTAGTGTTCTTTAGTAAGCTGGAGAATCAATTAGTGTTATCTTTTGTTTGATTGGACTTTTTAGTTTGATTTCATTGTGTCTTGAAGGAACTTTCTCTTTGTGCATCAAGCTCTTTACAAGAACAAAAGCTTAGTGTTCTTTAGTAAGCTGGAGAATCAATTAGTGTTATCTTTTGTTTGATTGGGCGTTTTAGTTTGATTTCATTGTATCTTGAAGGAACTCTCTCTTTCTGCATCAAGCTCTTTACAAGAACAAAAGCAACATTCTAGTGTACTGATTCTTTCATAATTTCTTTTCCTGCTCCGAAAATACTTAAGTAGTTAAATGTTAGATTATGACAGTACCTTTTCTTATCTCTATTGGATCTAACAATAGAGCAAAAACTTTTTGACTTCATTCTCTTGGGTACACTGAGACCAGGGCTGATTTCAAACTAGTGTTAGTAACCAGCAGTATGTGGTATACTTGCCAATAGAAGAATTTAAAGTGAAATGGGAATCATTTTCGGGACATAATAAGGCTAAAATAAAAAAAGTTGAAGATTTTAACCAAAAAATTGAAAATATTGTCAGTGTTAAAATTGACTTTTTTTTTTATCCAAATTTAAGCAAACAAATGTGAAGGTAACTGATATCTATTTAAATACCGGTGTCTGAAAAGTTGTAACTGGCAATGACATGGATACTCCAGACAAGTATTAGCCTATAAGTCGTCGTGTGCCATATCCGAACTGTCCCATCCTCAGAACATGTAATGATACTGGGAACTTCTGGATGATAACATACTGCAGTGATTTGGTTTCATAATCCCACACCTGATTCCATAGGATTCAACAGACGGTACATTAGAATTACATTACATGTCTACGAAAACTCTACTTTGCTTAAGAAAATGAATAACATTATGGCAGATCTTGGTGGTATGGTCATCAGAACCAGTGATCAGATATATTCACCCCTTTTGAATGGCCCTGCCAATATCCCAAATCTGAAAAAGCAAACATTACCATAGCATAAAAAACACAACTACATGAGTTGCCAAAACACAATCTTAGTCATACCTTTGTTGTGCAATCAATCAAGTGATGAACTAGCAAAGGTGTTGGTGTCACTTGGATTAAATGCTACTTGCATAGTTGCATGACATGATGGCTGTGTCCCTCAAAGATTCGAGCGCAAGCCCAATCCTTCTCCCAATCCCAAAGCTTTATGAGGCATGTAATCAGAGGCAGAAAGCACATATGGAAGGGTAGGATGCACAGCCAAAGACCTGATAAAATCCGTGTGCGCCTCAAATTCTTTCACTTTTTCATTTGTATTGTAATTGTATACATAGACAAACTTGTCATCAGATCCAGCTACAATCCAGTCTTCACGTGCCATAAGCTTCGCTGATAAATTTCCGAGAAAAACTAAAGAAAAACTATGCTGATCTTACTGCAAAACACATGCAAGTTGAAATGTAAAGACTATAGTAAATTGTGTTAGATGATTGTATACCTGGTGACTCCATTACTTTGAAAGATTTCTCCGTAGCCTGTAAAAATGTAAGTGACTCGATATCAATATCTCTTGAATCCAAAGCAAGAAAAACTACTTAGAAAGGTGATGGCAGAACAGAATTCTTATTATGTTCTAGTTGGTTAAGTGGAGCTTTGGAAGTTAAAAGTGCCAATTGGTGCTTAGATCAACATACAGAAGTCTGCTTAATAGTAAATTTGAGTATTTAAGTGTAGGTATAAGAGAATGTCAATCATCTATATTTTTAAGTCTGATTATGAAAAAAGGAATCATTCGACAGATCTATGACTAATTATCGTAGAGTTCCAATTAAAAAAATTCCTAATTATGCTAGGATGATGGAACTAGACATACCCATTGAGGCGGTTTCTGAAAAGTATCTAGTGCTTTATTTTCTTTAAATGCAGTGTTCTTGCTTTATTTTCTTCTGGGCATTGTTGTTGCGATTTCTATTTGAAGTTTGTTTTGGTAAAATGTGTGAATTTCTGTGTTGTCCTCTTTATTTGAATCTTCTGTTAATTTCATAGAAGTAACTCAGGATCACCACAGCTGTAGCAACAGCTACCCCCGTAGCACTTTGGTCCAGTATTGTACTGTTCTTTGCAGCTAGCTTGAAACACGAAGTACGTGGTGGAGTAAACCCTAGCTCTGAAAGTATTGTACTGTTTTGGTAAAATGTGTGAATTTCTGTGTTGTCCTCTTTATTTGAATCTTCTGTTAACTTCATAGAAGTAACTCAGGATCACCACAGCTGTGGCAACAGCTACCCCCGCAGCACTTTGTGCCAGTCTTGTACTGTTCTTTGCAGCTTGAAACACGAAGTAAGTGGCGGAGTAAACCCTAGCTCTGAAAGTTTATTGTGTGAACAGTGTGATGCTGCATAGTCTCTGAAGAATGCTTCCTCATCCTGCCACAAAATAATTAGTTGTTCAACCCTAATCCATCTTCAGGAAGCTCAACGTACTATAATATTTGATGTGTTAGAGCTTTCTAACCATGAGTGTCAAAATTAGGCTATACCATGAAAAAACTGTTAATCACCATCATTTACAATTTAAATCCCTTTTAATTGTTGTAATTTATTTTCATTGTTCTCAATGTTCCAACAAACCGCTCACTACAGTTCTGGAATGCATTTGTATTGTTAGGCAGTGGCTCTTTAGTCCTATTTGACATGTCACTGGCTCTCTCTCTCTCTTTCATTCTAGTGTTAAAGATCATGGACCGCGCGCGCACACAGTAAACTCTCTCTTTTATTCTAGTGCTAAGATCATGGCATACACACACGCAGGAAATGAATGCTTAATTGATCTGTATAATTTTAGTTGCTCTATGTTTTTAGTATTTATATTTGTGATTTTGAATGTTTCATTGAACATATTTTTGGGTAAATTAATAAATTACAAAAATTGGACAAATTAACCTAATAATCTAAACTAAGTCATTTAGAAATTTAATCACAATTAAATTACCTAACAGCTTTCGCACAACGTGACTAAGGCCATCCGCAGCGGGCTAGCTAAAGCCCTTCTTTAGCGATTTGAAAGCCCAAACAGCGTGCAACGGGCTAGCTTAATTGAGCGGGGCTCACTTTGACTCGCGGGCCGCCTCGCGGTATTCTGCGAACTAGCCCGCGATCACTGTATTTTTTTTTTTTTTTTCTTTTGCAAAATGACGGCGTTTTGCTTGAGGTTTTTTTTTTTTTAAAGGCAAGATTTATTTTTTTGAAAAAAACCCAAAAATAGGTTATTTTGAGGCTCATTTTTTTTTTTTTTTTAAAATAGAATAAAATTCATTAAATAAAAAATATATTGTTTAGGCACTATTTGTCCAAAAAAATAAAATTCATTAAATAAAAAATATATTGTTTAGGCACTATTTTTTTTTTTGTTTTTGCTTTTTTCCCTTAAATTTTTTTTTTTTAATTTTTAATTTTGCTTTAAATTTTAAATTTATGCCACAAACATTGCATTTTGCCGTTAAGGCACTGTTTGGCTTACACAAATAGTGCCTTAACGACTGTAATTGTTTTTTTTAAAAAGTATAAAAAATTCAATTTTTATAACTTTTTTTTAAAACAAATAATTAAAATTAAAATTAAAAATTCATCTACTTATTCCTATAGGATTTTGTAATCCTTATTTTCTTATTCCAATTTCATTATTTTTAATCTTAAAAAACTATTACATAATAAAAATTCTAGTACAAGAAATTCATGAAAATATATCCGTTAGAGATATAGCCATTTAGGAAAAGTTAAAAAAAAAATTAATTTTAATTTTAATTTTTTTTATTTGGAGAGCAAATAATTTGGAGAGCTGTGCATGTTTTTGGAGAATAAAAACTATTGACCTGACTTTTGAAATTACTAATGTGACTCTTGATAAATTCGAAAAGACATTTTTAAAGAGTCAAAATTCAAAAAGACTAGTACAGATGGCCTAAACAAAGTTTTCTTCGCAAATCTCAAATTCTTAGACCTCAATGCCCCATGCACATCATCATCCTTTTGGGTTCAATCAAGTTGGTCCTTTTTTGTGATTCCTACAGTGAAGTCCCATGATTAAGGTGACTCCAATTGTTTCAGTCAATGTCGTTCTTATATTTATATATTATATATAGTTTCATATATACAGACTCAATCACAATGAATTAGAATATATATATATATATATATATATATATATATATATAATTAAATGGACAGCAAATTTTAAAAAGTACTGTAACTACTAAATTTTATTGTTATTATATATTTATTTTTTAAAAATTGTCGTATTTAAAAAAAAAAAAAAGAAAAGTAAACGAGAGAAAAAGATAAAGAAAAAGAAAAACGTAATGAGAAGAGTACATCGCACTCTATCGGGGAAGAGCGCCGAGAGGGCACAAAACGCCCTAAGAACACCCGCGTTTTTTCAAACCTACTTCATAGCCATTATATATAGATACACACACATTTGTCTGTATATATGCACACACATTCATTGCGATCAGAAACATTTCCCTTCGGGTTCCAATTCCAGTTCATTCAATCTTCGCATTTTCTGTTGTATAGGAGTAGTATCATCAGTACAGTACCTTTTATACTGCAAAATCGGCGCATCTAGGGTTTGATGAGTTCAATACATTTACAGGGTTTTGTTGATTTGTAAATCTTCTCACTTGTCAGTGCAAAGCCCTAAAAATAATTATTTTTCCATTCACACACACACAGATTGTGAATCTGTGAGAAGTGATGGGGAAGAGGAACACCATTGTGGTTTCTTCATCAGACGAAGAAGATAAAGGTTTTTCATTGAGTTCGAATTTCAGCTATTCCAAGCCAAAAACGAGACCATCTTCGATTCCTCGAACGAACACTCAAAGGGCAAAGAGAGCCCGACTCACCAGTTCTTGTTCTCGAGCTAGTAAAGACTCCAATGGGTTTGACGAGGTATACTTAAATATGCATCATATTATTTCATCTATTTTTCTCCAATTAGTTAGTTTTCCTTTTTTATTTTACTTATTTGCAAAGAAAAACTTGGCATAGCAGTCTAAAACTTGATCAAAATGTGTGCAAACACCACCACAAGTGATGATAGAATAATGGATTATGAATTACATCTAAAACTTGCCCCTCTGGGTGCTGGAAAAAGTTGGGCAAAAGAAAAGAGGAATATGTTCAATCTCATGCTTTTTGTTTTTGTTTTTTGTTTTTATTTATTTATTTATTTATTTTTAATGTGGGAAATTAAGCTCAATTTAGTGACATGATACTTTATGCAATCCAATAAAGCACTATTGACTTCTCTGGCTGGTATGTTAAGCTCCCATTTTTGAGTAACTTTGATCTGTAAGCTTGAGTTATTAAAATAGATTCTGGATACTCAAAAATGTGTCGGTGGAATCAAAGCCATTATAGGGCACTGATGAAGTGCTGGTATGACATTTAAAAGGGAGAGATGAAAAGTGGGGGGAGAAGGGAGAGACAAAGTTAGGGGTTCAAGCTCTCAATTAAAATTGTCCTGCAATGAGCTTATGATAGGGGCCATTGACTGGTGTAGTGGGAAAAGCTTGGGCTGCCAAACTTGAGAATACAAGTTCGAGTATGAGGCATCCGCTTCTGTTAATAATGCTACTCTTGCCTAACTCGATTAACGGGGGCATTATTGGGTATGCCTTTTTAAAATTTTTTTTACTATACCCATTAAAAAATTGAGGTTATATTGATGTTCTTGCTTGAGTACAGAGAACCTGAATTTTGATGTTTCTTGATGCAGATCAAACGGTTCTGTGAGGATTTTGACGATGGGTTTACTGGGTTCAAGGTACCTGCTGGTATGCTAGTCTTATATTTTTTACTTTCGAAATATCTTGAATTCTTTTTGAGAGTACTCTTTATTCTTCTTCGCTTTCTGGAGATTTTTTTTCTTGCTTCTCTGTTCATGGAGGCTTGTTTTTAATAACTTTGTTTCTTCTCTATTAGTTGTTACTATTACAACTCCTTTTTAGTTATTAAATTTCATTTCTTAAAACAACTTTTCTTGATACCAAAACATAGCTTTACCACTTCCAGTACCTTACATGTTTGATATTTTTTATTACGTTGGAGTCAAACATTAAAGTCAGATTTTTATTTATTATTTATTATTATTATTATTATTATTATTTTTGGCATAACATGCATATATGCATGAACATTTGTTTCCTTTTATATATATTCTAACGCCCATTTTAACTGCCTTAATACTTGGTAGTGCTGGGTCTGTTACCTGAAGGAAAAAAGTTATCCCTTTTGAGTGGTTATAATGCTTTATTGGGTTACAAGTTATTTTTTCCTCCATCCCTCTCTCTCTGTCTTTCTGCGTCTGTCTCTCTATATATAAGTCTATCTATCTTCTGTTATTTTAATTGCCTTTTTATGTAGTTGAATGAGATAAGTTCTATGAGGTTTCTCCCTTGAGCCCAATCTAATGCAACAAAATGTTAGACTGTGAACAGTGGACAGCTTGATTTACATCTTGGTCTCTAAAGTATACAAGGAAACTGGAAAAGATCATCATTTAGCTATAAGCTCCAAAAGAACCTAGAAAAGCTGGAGCGTGCCTCTATACCTTACCGGATCTATTCATTTGTTGTGGCTTTTGCCCGTGATATAACAGCCCATTGTATACTTTATTTCATTATTACCATTTGTACTTGCCATTAATGATTGGCCAGCTGGATGTTGAAGTAGGGCCAGAAGTGTGCAATATTATTTGAAAAAAGAATATATGTAGTGCCTGACTTAGATTCTACATTTACTAGTTTTGAAGTGAATAATAAATTCTATCTATTGGTACCTGATGTTCTATTTCCATATTTGTTGTATCGACCTACTTAGTTTGATAGCAATATAACCTTACTATGTCTTTTATCTACAAAGTACAGGTATTGCTTGTTTTTTTTCACTTCTTTGTTATGATTATTTTTGTCAAAATCTTCCCTGTTTTTTGTTCTCGTGTAATTTTCAAACACCCCCCCCACCAACAAAAAAAAAAAAAAAAGAAAAAAAAAGAAAAAGAAAAAGAAAAGAGGCCTGAGATGATTTGCAAATACAAATTAGGTGATAGAAGGAACAACAAGGATATATGGGTTGATAAATATAAGCCTCGTTCCTTGGAAGAGCTTGCTGTTCACAAAAAGAAGGTAAAGTACAGTTTGTTTGCTTAAATTAACAATTACCAACACTTCAGTAGTTCAGTGATATTTCCCTTTTCTTGTATTTGCAGGTTGAAGAGGTTAAATTGTGGTTTGAGGAAAGATTGAGAACTGCAAAGGTACTAGTTTGACACATGGAAGCTATTATGACTGACATTAAAGTTTTCTTGGCCATTCATTACTGCTCAAATATTCAAAAGATTTGTGATTCTACATTTTTTCTTGAATCCAATAAACTTGAGTATTAGTATATGTAATTCTTCTCAAATATCTAAAGATTTGCGATTCTACATTTTTTCTTGAATCCGATAACCTTGAAGTATTAGTTTATGTAATTTTATACCAGTTACTGTATTCGGAATGTGCAATTCACATGTATTGAAAATGGCTGTTTGGTTTTTGTGCCTTTGTTTGATCTTTTTCTTCCAGAGGCTTTCACAGATTCTTTTTCTTAATCATGAATTCACGATAGAAGTGATCATAGAATTCTGCTAGTATAGAGGTTTTGCTTGTTGGTCCTGGTCCCATGTCATTTTGGACCAGTTGGTTGTTAACAGAGGAGGAAGCGATTCTATTAGCGGTTAAATTTTTTTACAAAAATCTTTGCATGGAACTTGGTTCATTTCAACCGGCGCTAGACAGAATTCATTTGAAAGCATCATTACGGAGATGTGTGATTGTTTGGAAAGGCTTTTGAGGAAGAGGAGGTTTTCAAGGCTCTGGGGGAGACGTGTAGGTAGTAGAGTAGGCAATGTCATTGAGTTTGAATCGTAATATCACCCTGATGATTATTGATGCACGTGTTTGCTCAATCATAATGAAGAGTTTGGCCACACGTGAGAGCGCATGCTAAAGGATTTAGAAAAAAAAGTTTACACCCTCTCTAACTGTTGTATCTGTTTGAGCAGTTGGTTGCTAAAGTATTATATAAGTGTACATAAGTTCTTACCTCTTTGTGTGTGTATCTGTACTATATTCTGTTTTATTTGCTTTATGAAAACTCAAGACTGTTTCTTTCTTAATTGCAGAAAGAATCATTTAATCACGTCCTCCTCATCTCTGGACAAACTGGAGTTGGAAAATCTGTATGTTTTCACTGTTTTCTTCCATGTATTTATAGTTTCCGCCTTTTTATTGTGTTGTGATATCATTCATGCATTTGTGTACTTGAAACAATTATTTATTGGGTGCTTTATATTCTTGTAGGCAACTGTCCATGTGGTTGCATCTCATCTTGGAGCCAAAGTATGTGAATGGAACACGCCCACCCCAACAATTTGGCAAGAGCATTTGCATAACTCCAATTCAGGTGTTTGAAGTGTATGTGTGTATATTTGTTGCACATAAGCATTTAGATACTTGCATCAGCTTGGTGACAACAATAGATGTTCCTTACCCACTTGTGTAATAGTGTAATACCCCAAGCAAGCAAACACCTGATGGGTCCCACATGAAATTTATAATAATAAATATGTAGGCTAGTGTGGGTACCGTGGGTGGAAATATCAGTTTCCCTGTCTCTCTCTCTCTGGTAGGTTGGAAGTGAGAATGGGGAGGAAGAGGGTTAAGTTGGACTGATTTGAATATGTTGATTATTCTTGGTTGAATCACTGAATTTTAGGTATCGGGTCTCTCACTAATTGGAGGAAATTTAATTTGATGGTTTATTCCTGGTATTTTTCTTTTGGACGATGAGTTGGTTCAATTGATTTAAATATTTGAACCTTGTCTTCTGTTGAGATATGGATTTTAATCTGCTACATGTGCAATATTGCCATTTATTAAACTATGAATTTGTTCCATATTATGGGAGGGAATGCTTGCATTTCAATTTGAGTTTTCACATATGAATATATGATGTGTGAAGCAGTCATTAGTGGATACATGCTTGAACTTGCACTATGATTACATGAGTTATTTTACTCTAAAAAACAAATGGGCTGGCATGCTTTTAGTTGTATATTTGCATAGCTCAAGATACTCAAATAAGTGAGGTTGTATAAATACTAATCTTGTTGGGAGTTAGGGGACTAAATTATGATCTATCATGACCCTTGATAATTGACTTTTGTTGACGATGTAAGGGTTTTTAAGGAAATCTTTAACCTGGGATCAGACATGAATCACACCTCACTTACTAAACAGTTGGATGACTATCTGTCTTTTACTCTCTTGTAAATGTTCTTGTTTGACATTCACTAATTAACTAACAGGGCTACGATACACATCGAAGTTGGATGAGTTTGAAAATTTTGTTGAGAGGATAAGGAAGTATGGAATGATTCCTTCATCGTTTAATGGAGGGTCACAAACATCAATTGTACTTCTAATTGACGATCTACCTGTGGCAAACGGAAAAGTTGCTTATAGGAGGCTTAACAGCTGCTTGCATCTTCTTGTGCAATCAGCTCGTGTTCCAACAGCTATATTGATCACCGACTATGCTACAGCTGACTCCGCAGACAATAGCACACGTAGCTCGGAAGAGCTTCAGCTGTCTCTTCAGAGAGCTGGCGCTTGTAAGGTTGCATTTTTTAACGATCTTGATTTTTACTTAATATATATATATATATATAAATTTGCTGAATGCTTATATTAAACTCTTTCTTGAGATATTTCAGGTGGCTTTCAATCCTATTACAGTAAATTCCATTAAAAAGACACTTTCTAAAATATGCAGAGAAGAGCAGTGTAAAGTGACTGCTGAACAGATTGATCTAATAGCAAAAGCCAGTGGAGGTGATATCAGACATGCGATTACATCCTTACAGTACTTCTGTCTGAAACCTGAATCAATGTCCACTTTATCTATTTCCAATTGTACTCCCACTTATTCAAAAGATAGATCAGATGAGATTAATCGTTCGGATGATGGATTTTCTTTGCCATTTGGCAGAGATGAAACTCTATCTCTATTCCATGCCCTGGGGAAATTTCTGCACAACAAAAGAGAGACTGAAAATTCTACTGAATTGGGTATGTACTAGGGGAACTCATAATTTGATATTTTAGTCGTAAAAAAGACGAAGTAGAGGGCATATGTTCTTCCATTTGTGATGGGGCTTAATTTTCTGCTATATCTCTGGTGCTTTCACTATTCTATCTAAATAAATTAGATTGATAATATTCCCAGGATTTTATAACATTACTTTCAAATTTCAAAGTTTTACCATGCAGTAATAATTTGTGCTTACCGAATTCTCTTTTGATTATTAATGCAATAATGAAATCTAGTTCCAACCTTAGAGGCCGAATTGTAATGAATCATAATAATTTAATAAAGAAAGAAAAGTAAATTTGAGTGATTTTTCCAATTATTTAACTCAATGTTAACCGACTACCGTTTTAATACGTGATAAAGCTAGTATTCTCTTTGAAGAACCCTTTTAAAATGTAGTTGAGGCACCACTCTGTTGATAAAAGAGAGAGAATGACCATCTTCTAGTGCCTAAGACAGCGGTATTAAATTGTAAATTTTATAGTCATCTGATTTCAGATTGTATCCCTGCCTTATTCTCTTCCCTGAGCTGATGTTATTTTGTTGTAGGCAAAAATTCATTTGGTATAAAGGAGAAATTCACTAGACTACCATTGAAAATGGATGCTCCAGAAAAGATTCTTTGTCAAGCACATGGGCAAGCAAGGCCTATTGCTGATTTTCTACATGAAAATGGTAAGACTTTTATCTGCTAGTTCTCTTCCCTGTGACTCTTGTTATCATTGCTGGTGGGTGTTATGTTTCTGTCACATCGAGCCTTCCATATGTATGCTCTGTCGCATGAGTTTCTGAAATTCTGGTTAGTATGCCTTCTAAGTTCTAATTAGTGGATGGGTTTCACCTATTTGTTAAAGTGTCAATTTGATATGATTAAACAGTCATTGCTCAGTTTGGTACCCCTCAACTTGATATGGTTACAAGCCCAAGATTGTTGAAATGATGAAAATAAATTTTAAAATAATTTAAACATAATAATTGCGTTGGTTTTTAGGTTATCTGCCTTGGCAGTGTAATTTACAGCTAAGCTATATGCGGGTTCCAATTGTAAAATAATCAAAAGCTCCAAACTGCAGGCTGATAGATTTGGGTTTAAATATTTCGACTTTAAGATTTTATGTAAAAAATGATAACAATCCTCAGCACTACAATGTTACTCCTGGAGATGTTTTAGAGCTGTACATCAAAATATTGTAGAGAATACAATAGAATTAAGATGTAGAAATCTTTAGATCTTCAAGAACTAACATGGACTAGGAACTTGGGTGCAAAAGATTCAATTTGGCCTTGAGCTCAACTGTATGTTTCCCAGTTCATGAAAACTGCATATGGACAAGCTCTTGTCATATTCGTCACTTTTGACTTGTGGAATTCTGGTAATGATGATACTTGATAATGATTTCTCTTTTTGAGATTTGACATGAACTTGACTAATAAATTCCCATAATTTTTTAGCCTAAGATGAGTTGATTATGCATTGGCTAGCTAGCAAACTTGGCACACTCATGAGACGAAATCACAATTTGAGAACACGTCAAGTAAAATTTTTGAGTATGCTGCTCCTTTATTTATTTATTATATTCACACACACACACATCCCCCCATCCTGGCTTGAATCCTCAACCTTCCCATTGGCTGTTGTTGAGGTGGGGCACATACCTTTCAAGCCTGGTAATATGCTGTACCATCGACACTCTGCATAGGTCGATAAACAATGTGATTTACACTAGAAATCTATAATCAATGTGTTTCTGCTCTTATTTGTAGCATATGTACTCAAGGGTGTGAGTTTATTTAAAATTTGAAATTTATAAAGTGAAAAAGTTTTTTATTATGATGTTTTTGTGGTTTTCTTTGTATTTCCTTCATTTCTCCGGACCTTGCAGTAAAAGAAAAGGGATGAAAATGTCCGAGGATGTTCGCATTTATTTTCAGATGCTGACCTCCCTTACTACCACTAAATCAAAAGCACCTTTCTAAATGCGAAAACTAGGTCTAAATAGGAAGGAGAAGTGAAATAAAATACAAAGTTAAGAAATTTTTAGTAAAATTGGCCATAGGGTTTACGTAATAGAAGAAGCTTGCAACTTTTATGGTTAAAATATGTTATACTGCCTGCAGTTTCATGGCTGTCATATACAACTTTCTTGCAGTTCTAGATTTTCTGAATGAGGAAGCAATAGATGACGCATGGGTTGTGGCTTCATACTTGAGTGATGCTGATTTCCTTCTTTCTTCTCTTAGTGGAATGCTAACTAGAAATTATGAGGCACAAAATGTTGTACAATCTGCTGCTGCTTCAGTCGCTGTTCGTGGGGTGCTATTTGGGAAATTTCATCCCTCACCTTCCAGGTATAACTCAGTATTTTTGGTTTGTTTTTATTATTTATTCCAAGTTCCAAACAGGACTTCTTCAAGTAGGGAGTCATTACCAACTCTTGTGAGTATGCAGGTGGCATTCAATTCGCCGTCCAGGGCTCTGGCAGGTTGAGCAATCATTATGGAACAATAAGGTCAGTTTAATGTGTGTACATTTCCCATCATCTCTGTTCGTGGGGTCTTTGAAACTGCTGATTATGGCCCTGCAAAATTTATAGTCAAAGTTGAATGTAAAACTGAAATTTCCTAGAGCGCACCTCTAAAACTTTGAAACTGCTGATTATGGCCCTGCAAAATTTATAGTCAAAGTTGAATGTAAAACTGAAAATTCCTAGAGCGCACCTCTAAAAATCATTTCAAGCACTGCAGACTAGAATAGTGATTTTGATGCAACTTCAAGGAATGGTGACTTTGAAGGGTTTACTAGAATGCTTTTGCCTATGTGGACCTATCTTCTTTGGAGTCACTTATTTTCCCTACTTACAATAACTAATGAAGCAAACTTTCCTGATTTTAGGTATGATGTCTTCCCATCAAATGCATAGGTTATTTTGTCCAAAATGCAGTGTTCTATTTTGAATGACATAGTCCTTGGTCAGTGGACATTAACTTCTAAATCCCTTTAGCGTGATTTTAAGCAGATTATGCTCTTGCTTTTATGGTCACATAGCAGGATGCAAATTGAATATGAGTGGCCATTGGCGATAATGTTCTTTACTATATTGTTCTCTCTCCTTACATGTGGTTTTACCTTCTGATGTGATTGCAGCTTGAGATGGTAAGCCAGAGATGTGTTGCTTATAATGGCCTGAGCCTAGCTGATATGTCAGTTGTTGCAACTGAGTGCAAACCCGTCCTTAAATGGCTAGGGTTCCGAGCATCTGATGGTCTTAAACCTTGTCAGCCATCCAACATGCTAGAAGATGACAACTTGGATAGCATGAGTTTGGGTGATAACGAGACTTCTGATGACGAAATAGAAGATTGGTAAGCTATGACAAATGATCTGGAAAGCATATTAGGCCCGGATATAACTCTCTCGTCTGTAAATTTTGTAAATTGGGGTTAGAATTGCCAATTTTGTGTTTCACCCCACTTTTCTCTTGTTAATATTTTTTTGGCAACGTCTTTTTTCAATGCATATCTAATATTTCAAATGTTTAGTTGCTCTGTTCGGTCTTGCTCTTACAGAAGCATAATCACAGTAGAATCTGATCTGTTTCAACGTGCTCCCATTGTCTGTGAATACCTGTTTTGCAATTCAAACACAATGCATCGTCTTCATTCTTGCAGGAGATAAAATTTAAAGACGAGGAATTACTAAAATTCTCTCACAAAGCCTGGATTCTGAAAATGCATGTGTGCTGTATATGTATTATGTATTGTTCTTCTACTGCAGTTACCTGTTTTCTTTGTTGCTTCGTGTAGCAAAAGCTAACCGGTGCCTGATACTGGCAGTGGCAGCCATAAGGCTAATCTTGGATCGGTTTAGTTTTCGTTTTGAAACTTTTTTCCGTAGCAAATTGTGACAGCAAGGGCGAGATTGGGTTCGCAATCTCTTACGTTGTGGCGATCATAGTTTAAGGTTGCCATGTTTGTTGTGCTGGAGCATTGGCATGCATAATTTACCAGCTGCACATTCGATAATCATCTTAGCAAAGCTTTTCTCTACCTATTTACTGTTTTTTGTTTCATCATTTTGCTTTAACTGAGGTTATAATCATTAGACTTTTTGTGAGATTATAATTTTACCATGATTTTAGGAAAATTGGCAAGTTTGATGAAATTCTCTCTTAAAAAAGATGACATCTTGGCATTTACTCAGAAAAAATTTAGTATTTGTTTATGTTCATCTGAATTGAAGAAAGGGTTCTTAGTGGTCATTCTTACTAAAACTAATGCTCCCTCAACACGACTCTTTTTCGAGGGGAAACAAAAAAATAAATGGCATACGTGGTCTCGACCTAGGGTTTTTAGGGCATGCTAGGGTTTCAAGTTGTATATTGATTTCTTGCCATCCATGATGGAGGGTCTTATCTTCTCCAAATTATCCCACATAAATCTACATTATCCCACATAAATCTGCACTGTCAGCATGCTTACTGAAAAATATAGCACAAACAAATAAGAGAAAATAACAAGTTATAATACAAATATATGTTTGAAGAGGGAAAGAGACAGAGCAACCGCTACTCTTATATTATCAGAGTATTAATATATGTTTCTCAATTTTGTGGGGGAAATTGTAAAGGCTCGAGGATTTGTTTCAAGTTTTGTTTGGTTCATAAATAAGTAGAATTTTAAATGCAAAAATAATTCAGCAATTTTTATTATGATGAAAATGGAAAAAATATTTTCAGTGCAAGTGGGTTAGCTTCACTCTTTAATTTGAGAGTAATTTGAATGAAGAAATATATAGTGGCAAAAAAAAAAAGAAAAGAAAAAAAACAATGAAGAAATATATAGTATTAGTACTAAAAAGACCAAAGTAAATGGTATTATAACATATACTTCTCTTTGCTATTGGAATTTTCAACCAATTACTTGTATTATTATTATTAAAAAGTTAATGATTAATCATTCTATTACTAGTTAATAAACTTATTTTATTTATTTATTTATATATTTTTTCACATGACTTCATTTTTGCCTCTAACCGGATTTAAATTTTCAAACCACTATAAAATACTATCCATAATGTTTTTTATTTTTATTTTTATTTAATTAAGTAAATACTCACGCACATCCCATAGATGACTATCATGGGTAGGGTCTGTTTCGTATCAATAAATTGGTTCGAACTTGGCGATTAATAAACTTTCTTACTTGTTAGGGGTAGAAAAAGTAAAGTATGATTAATTACACTGTAAAATGTAAATACTATAAAATTAGGAGTCCTTGGGGGCAAAAAAGTATATTCTCCTTCTCCTAAAAATCAACAAACACGAAACGATTAAGCCCTGTTTGGTTTGCCAATTTCGAAAACTAGGTTTTCTTCTGTATCTCGTCAATGGGTTAACGAAACACAGAGGTCGACTCTCGTGCAGTCCAAACACTCCGCTACAGGGAGAGTTGAGGCCATTCTCTTCTTGGAGGTAAATTGATTCTGTCGGTGACTGTATTCTCTATTTATCGAAATAATTATTTAGTTTTCTTGAATTGTTAAATTAAATATGATCAACACAAGCTTCGGGTTTTGAATTGGGTCAGTTTAATCTTAATCTTGTAGTGTATGTTTGGCATTTGCAATTTTAGGGTTTTAAATTCATAATTAACTCCTCAAATGACATTTCAGTTGATTTAATCACCATGGCGTCAACTTTGCATGAACTTGGGGATTTTGTCCCTTTAAATGTGAATATTGTATTAGGTTCCGTCATGTCTTCCATTTCCCCCAACCCATTTGTTTGTTTTTTTGTGTTTTTGAAACTGAACTCTAGAGCTATCTTTTTTTAAGTAACAATGATCAATCTTGGGTTAATTACTGATTCTTTATGGATATACAGTATATGAATAAATCTGTGATGTCCCAGGCGATGGGGGAAGAAATTTTTAGATGGTCCCGTGACCATTGGACCTGGTCAATCACTATTGAACACGCAAGCAAAAAGCTAAATAAAGCTTACACATTTCCGACACAATTGCTTATGTGTCCAATGGTGATTGGCTCGGGTCCAATGGTCCCAGGACAATGTAATAACTTCTCCGCCTGGGGGACAGGTTGTTTGGCACTCAATGTATGTACATCTCTTTAATGTAATAACTTCTCCGCTTGGCAGACAGGTTGTTGGCACTTATACGTGTGTACATCTCTGGTTGTTGGCACTTATATGTGTAGACGCATTTTGAATACCGTAAACATGGACAATATCTACGGGCGGGCGGGTCGCGACAAGGTCATTCGTGGAATTACCCTTTTATAGAAGCGGTTCAGAGTTTTGTTATAGGAACTTTGGATGTTAAGCACCTTGGGGGGTTTTGTGAATGTTACGCAGGTGACATTAGGGGCCTTTGGTGCTACGTTTCTATTTTATAAGGTTAGATTGTAACCATTAAGTGTTTTACTAAGCATTACCTAGATTGGGTACTGTGATGGTTGGTCCTTAGGGAGGATGACAAATACAATTTTTGGTATTTAACAAAGGGGCTGCTCTGAACTTGAAGTCATCAGTGGGACTGACGTTCAAGTGTCTTACTGTCAAGCCAGACAACGACCCTTTGCTAATGTAACTTAAATTATCATTTTAAAAGAAATTCACTTAAAAAGGAATTTGAATTTTAGTAGTCATAACCGGACTTCAAAACTGAATGCTGAATGTGTCTAGTGAAAGGTGATTTTAAAATTTAATCTAAATGCCGAATCTCAAATTTTTGATTTTAGAGTTCAGTTCTTAAAGTGTTTAGAAATGCTAATGTCATAGCAAAAGTTTCGGTACTTAATTTGTAGTTTAATTAAAAAAAATGCCTAACATGGAGGATACATTTTGTTATACTAGGGTGAATCATTGCACTGAATGGGTATATGAACACATAATAATATTTAATTTGGTATTTAAGTTAAGAAGTAAAAAGGAGAAAGAAAAAGAAAAATATAAAAAGAAAAAGAAAAGATAGATTGAGGGCTTCAAGCATGTGAGGCACTTGTTATGATTTTGCAAAAGTTCTTTAAAGCTGCATTTGGATCTGATGGAAGACTTCTATGATTGTTCAATCATATAAAAGCTAGATATGATTGGTCATGTGGTGTGGGTTTTGCAAGTTAACCTGGTATCTGTAACTTGGCCCTTCTTTTTTTATTGCTAGGTAACGAACTAATAATTAGTTTATTTTCTTTGAGCCTGCAGCTGTAAAATTAAGCTGATATTCACATGGTTTTTGCTATCCTCTTTCGTGTGTGAAACACTTTCCTTCTGGGTGGTGGTTACTAGTGATGTAATTCATATAACAACAACAACAAAAACAACAAAACCTTTCCCCAATTACTTGGGGTCGGCTACATGAATCCCATGTTTTCATTTTGCTCTATTTAAGGGCATAGTCTTAGTCGGTCCACGTTAACTTTGGTCTTCCTCTTCTTCTAGTGTTACCCTCAGTGTGAACTATGTCACTTTTCCTAACCGGCGCCCTTTGTCTTTTTTGCATATGTCCAAACCATCTTAAACCAATTTTCTCTCATTTTACCTCCAACTCCTGAATGTGATCATTTCTAATTCTGTCCTTTCAAGTCTTGCACTATTGAAGTATTTCATATAATGAAAAATTATTTCTTCAGAGAAGTTAAATTTGTCTGTGTAAGAGGTTGAATTGGATATTTTGTAATATTCACATGCCTAAGCAGTATATTCACCATTTACCTTTTTGGGTCAAAGACCATTATACTATTCTAGATTGTCAGTGCCCGTTTTTGATGATTTTACATTTCTTTTATTGACACCATTTCCCAATCTTGCTACCAAAGATCACAGTGTTTTGAAATTTTCTTCTTACCAATTTTTATGAACTTGTAGATGGCTAGCAGGTCTATCCGGTCTAGGAGAGCACCTCCCACACTGCATCCAGAACAATCGTCTAGGGCTAAGTGGACAGCACCCCTCACAAAGATACTTGCGGACTTGATGGTTGACCAGGTTCAAAAGGGGAATAGGCAAAGAAACTCTTTTGGCAAGAAGGCATGGAAGTTTATGTGTGATGAGTTCTATAAGAAAACAGGTTTAAAATGGGATAAGGATCAACTGAAGAATCGATTTTCCGTCTTAAGGAAGCAGTATGGTATTATGAAGTCACTTCTTGATCAAAGTGATTTCAAATGGGATGAAGCCACTGGTGCCATCATCGCAAAGGATGAAGTGTGGAACAGATATATTATGGTAGATACTGTCATTTCTGCATCTCATTCTTTATGAACAAAAAAAATTTCTATTGCCCCGAGTTAGGGAAACCTCGTCACTGCCATCAGGATATCATTTTTGTTGATATATATCTATATATATATCCTTCAAATGTCAGAGGACAATTAACCAATTCAATTTCTATTACATTAAATATTTTTGCTTGTTAATGGCTTATGCAGGAGCAATTTATGTTTTATACTGAATGTCCATGGATTTGTGTACTAATCAGGAACATCCCGATGTGGAGACCGTAAAAAGCAGTGGCTGCCCAATTTACAAGCAGCTGTGCGCAATATTCTCAGAACCGGTTATGAACGGGGATCATAACCGATCTAATGAATGCAAGGAAATAATTCAAGAAGCAATTCTTTGCGCAGAACCTTTAAGCACATTCCGGGAGGAATCCTCATCAGAATCAGAGGAGGAAGCCGACGTGGCAGGTGAGCAAGACAAACTTCAATTGACCATCCCTCCTAGCACAGGTGGTCGCAAGAGAGGGCGCAAGGGGATTGATAATGCTATCGCAAACGCTATATTGGAGATGGCGGCCGCTTCAAAGCTGAGGGCAGATGCCATAGAGCAATGTAACAACAGATTCTCTATAACTGATTGTGTTAGAGCGCTGGACGAACTGCAAGGCGTAGATGAGCAAGTTTATCACGCTGCTCTAGAGCTGTTCAACAATCCTCATGCAAGGGAGACTTTCTTATCTCTCAAACTCGACAAGCGGTTGATGTGGTTATATAGCAAGTGTACTGCACTCTCTAGTTCATAGTTCACAAAGAGAACTCTCTGGATCTACTTCATCATCTTCATTAGGTCTTTCTTACTTGAATAGCAGTGAGAGTAACATGTATAGTAGTAGCCTCTTTATCTCTCTCTCTCTTGTTCAAAAACTTCAGGTCCAGGTGAATGTGGTTCATAGATTGTGCCACCGCGTGGGTAAATGCAAAATATGGCCACAAAATCTTGTAAATCTTCGTTGCTTTGCTCAATATAATTAATTGCAAAATGCTGCATTTTGAGAGTGGTTACAAAATTGTTTTCTTATTTTCTTTTGATATGTTGGTTTGAAGATACAACAATTAGTGGGACAGTCTTCAAGGTTGGAGTAGAAACTGTCACCGTGAGCCTTTAAAGTAAAGAACAAAATAACAAAAAATGTGATTCTACTCAAAGTTAAATAAGTAATCCATCAATACATTTATTAGGAGAAAAAAAAAAAAAAAATTGCCCTAACTGGAAGAGGAAGAAGAAGAGGAAGAAGAAGAGGAAGGTCGAGGAAGCTCGGAGTCGTCTTCTTCATCGGATGTTAAATCCATAACAGGAGACCCAGTCACAAACAATTCCTCACTATCACACACAGGTTTTGTTTTTTTCTCTTTTACGCAACAAACCACCCAATCTTCTTTTGCTCCGGAACATTTCTGCACACAAAAAATAATTTCAGATTACAATTCATAGAAATTCTTCTTTCAAAATGAGTGGTTGTTGTTACAGTTGAATTGGATGGCAATGAGAGTATTTTGATTGTATACGTACCTCGGTAGAATTGGGGATGACGTCATCAGAGTGTAGAAGACGATACTCGCGCATGACCCAAGGAGTTGGGACGTCCGTCTCTCTATAGAAAACCAGCAATCTCTTCATCGCACGCACTTTTTTGCCTCTAAACACTACTTCAATATCTTCTTCTGTGCCAATCGCCTCCCAGTAACCACCGCCACTGGTGGTGGTTGTGTTGAGTTTGTTAGCGTCAGAAGATCTGACAAAGAAATATCTTTTGATCCTAGGTTCACCTGTGACATAATGATCATTTCAACGTTAGTATTTTCAATCTGATAACATGATATTTGTGTTGGTCACAATCCTTGTGGCATTTAATTTGGATCAACAGAATATTTAATTAGGTTAAGCGCAAAAAAAAAAAAAAAAAACAGAAGCATGTAATTACACAGGTTTTGTGCACAAACATTCCCGCCTTTTTAAAAATGTGTATCTCAATTCATAATTTTTTTTTTTTTTAAAAACAAATGCAAATAAGCGCCTTTGATCACTTTTTAACAAATATACATATATAAACCTCAATTTATCCTTTTTATTCCTATTTTACCCCTAACAAAAAAAGCCCCCTACCCCCTACCCCATTTCCTATTCTTTCTCTCCCCCCTCTGCATAAAACCCTAACCTCTTGCACTTGTTTTAATTTTATTTTATTGACAAGAGTTAATTATGATTTTTTTTTTTTTTTTTTTTTTTTTTTTTTTTTTTTTTTGGCACTTTAACCCTATTTGTTGAATTTGGATGAATGGCATATAGATTAATAAAAAATTGGGTGAAATTACAGTTTATTTACAAATGCAATGCAGTATACTTCAAGGGAATTTAATAATGAAAATTCCAATTGAAAAGAGAATTTAATCATTTCATCATGAAATATACCAACAAAAATTACCTCTGACATGGTGAAAATTTTCAATTGAAAAGGGAATATAATAATGAAATATACCAACAGAAAGAAAAATTACCTGGCAAATCCTCCGGGATGGTGTGGAATACATCACAATAGTCAGGAATGATGTTGTTGTTAAACAATGGATCAGTACGGTAGACCTTCGTCGTCAAATAGTATCCAAGCAGCTCTTCTTCTGTAGGAAGGAAGTGATACCCACTAGGAACTCCACCCATTTCCAGCTCTCTTTACGATGGATCTATTGATCTTCTTCGTCCCAAATAAATTACGTACACTACAAAATGATTTATGGATTGTGAAAAATGTTATACATATATATATATATATATATATAGAGAGACAAGAAACACAAGTCCTACTGCCTTTCGGATTCCATTCAGCCCTAATTCCTAACTTGACTAGGAATTGATTAAATGATGACACACGTATGGCCAGAATCATGCCACGTGGAAACTTAGTAGACTCCACCTATTCAATTCCTTTATTTTAAATATAGTATACGATTCCTTAATCATATAGGATACCCCATATGGTTAGTTGCCTAAAATGATCCACACCAATAACTATGCATATATATATATATATATATAAATAGGCCTAAAAAAAAATAATTAAATTACCTTGAAATAAATTAATAAACATTTCATTTAAACCCTAACAACCCATCCCTCAATCACTCATGCCAATTTATAATTTTTATAATGCAATTAATTTTTTTTATTTACCAATGCAGTTAAATTCATTTATAACTTCATATCGATTCAATTTAAAGTGAATAGTTGCGTAATCAATATGAAGTTACTACATAAACAATTAAATAATTTAAAATAGTTATTGAGTAATTCAAGTAAAAATTTTCCGTAACTTAAGGTTTAAGATTTTATTTTAGTGTTCAATTTGAGACACAAAAAATATAAGGCTTCTAATACAAGCGAATTACTAATCAGTGATTCCCCAACAAAATAGAAAAAGAAAGAGAAAGAAAAAAATTATAAGTCAGGATGACTGTAATATAAATTCCCCAAGAAAATAGAAATAGAAAAAGAAAAAGAAGAAGAAAAAAGTTATAAGGCTTATAATAATACAGGCGAATGAGACTAAAAAAAATAAAAAATAAAAAAATGTGTAATATACTCAAGGCGGTTGCCCACCGCCTTAAGGTTTACTTTAATTGGCTTATAATAATAAAAAATAAAAAAATAAAATAATAATCAAGGTGGTTGCCCACCGCCTTAAGGTTTACTTGAATTGGGTCCGGTAAGTGTTTTAGTCAACGAAATGGGGCGACCCAATCCCCAAATCCAACAAGTAGAATTGTGGTTATAAAAAAGTAATTTTGCTTCTTGTAAAACGAAATAACATTTGAACCGGCTAATTGTAAAAAAAAAAATCCCTCATTTTTCATCCGTTAGTAAAAAAAAATTTCTTATGAATATCTTTAGTTAACCCCTCAACTATCACGAGGGTCCTACTCACTTATTATTTTGTGAACTATATAAAATACTAAAACGAAGCATTCATTTGGAATATATATAGTAATATTGTAATTATTTATCAAATGTCAAGTTAAATTAATCTTGAGAGAAAAAAAAAAAAAAAACCTTCAATTTAATTTTGGTTGGTTTCCAACTTTCCATAATTCGGGCAAGAGCTCACTTGTCAACCTTATGTACAACGTTTTGGAACGCTCTGGACTCGGACTCAAATCCCCTGCTGTAAGTTACCCTACAGTCCCCTGCTGTGAGTTGATGAAAGGCCTTAGTTTGGCCACGTATGCTTCAGTTTGTAATATGTCTGTGGGCTCCACGAAAATGGTGCGGTGGTCCATAATCTTCCTCAAAACAAGCAGGAATGTTATGAAATAACCCATTTGACCACCCTCTTTTCACTATTGAAATCATTTGTTCCCTCCGATGTTTTATGATCAGTTTATTTGTTATGTCTGTGTTTATGTTCGAAAGTTGTTGAATACCATTTACTTTATCAGCATCATTGCCATATATTAATGCAATGGCTAAAGCAAACTTACAACCAGTATGCTGAAGATATGCACCTTTGGTTAGAATACTTAGCCCATCTGCCCGATTTTGATGCAAGAAAAATAGTTCCTACATCCAACATAAAGTTATTAAAAATAAACCCGATTAAATTACTTTCACAATTTAGTAAAGTGAGTGCAAGCAACGTACCACTCCGGAGACAAACATAGCCTCCAAATTGCCATCATCAACACACTTTTGCATGAACACGCATCGCAAATAGTAAGTATCACTGGTACCCCCCGTTTGTATTTCGTACAAGGATTTAAAACTGAGAAGTCGTAACATATGTGGCTCCAAACACACCATAGCTAGCTTATGAGAACTGCACATATTTAAACACTTTTAACAAAAAATTTCGTGAATGAAAAAAATATTATAAACATAAAACAATAATGTACAATTAAATCCTTACCATTGTTGAAGTTGTAGTAGGTCTTGAAAATTATTTGCTACCACTCTACTAACCACCTCACTGAGCAACGGCGGTGGGAGTTCTTCTATTTTCATTTTTAGACTACTTGTTTTGTGTATGCTGGTTACCTTTTGGGGGAAGGTTAACCATTGGTTTACCAGAAAGGGAAGAACTTATGGTGGATATATAGTCAATATGCATAGCCAATTAATGTGGTAGGTTAGGATTAGTTGAACACGAAATTGTGTAATAACTCACAACATTAGCTGTAAATGTATAATTAAATGCACTGCTTGTTTGATATGACTAAGTAGATCTACAACTCCTCTATTATATATAGATATTTGGTTGAACCGGCAAATCTCCTCTAAGTACATTCACCATCTCAACTAAGTATTCACATCCTGTTATTTAAGTAATAGCACATATGAAATTATCTGAATTCACCATACTGTTTTTCTGATTTGAAGTGAATATAGAGAAAATAATATGTGTGTGTGTGGGCGCGTGTGTGTATATTAATAAGAAAACATAAAAAAAATTAAAAAAAATACAATATTCACCTTCATAATTAAGTATTCACATCCTGCTGTATAAGTAATATCACATACAAAACTATATAAATTAGCCAAACCCTAGAAGGAGCCGGCTCTTGTAAACAAGAGGAGGCGGCTCCCTAGCCTTGAGAGCCGGCTCTCCTTTTTGGGAGCCTGCTCTTTGGATGGAAACTTCATTTCGTTGAAAAAAGCTTTTAGAGCCGTCTCTAATTGAAATGGAGCCTGCTCTAATTTTCTGAGCCTTCTCTAGAAATCTAGAGCCTTCTCTACTTTCCCTTGAGCCTTTTCTAATTTTTGTAAAGCCTTCTCTACTTTCAGTAGGAGGCTTAAAATGAATTCCAGTATGATGTAAGGCTCATATGAATGTGTTTAAAAAGCTAATGAGCTAATTTTATATTCTTTGAGAGATGAGATGAGAATGATATGCATGAATTGTAATTTTGAGTTTCTCCTCCTATCAATATGCATCTATCAAGATACTTAAAAAAGCAATAGAATAGCACATTAGCATGATAACACATCTTTCTCCCCCTTTATCATCTCAAAAAAAATGGGAGACTAAATGAATAGATAAAGAAAAATAACTTGCCATTTCAGGAAATATCAGAGAAGAATGAATTAAAGGGCATAAGATAAGCAAATATGACAATTTATAGATAACAGAAAGAGACTGTGAACACGAGTACCATATTACAGATAAAGGCATAGTTTATAAAACACAGAAAAATGCTTCTCTAAAGCAAATAAAGCTAATAAGTGCACACAAAAGAAGGTTTGAAATGGAGAAAAACTGTTCTAAGGAGAAGAAGGTCCATATTGGTTTCGAAATTCTGTAAAATCGTCATTAAGATGAGCGATTGCCATGTGCATTTCGTCAAGTTGAGTTTGTTGTTTCTCAAGAGTGGCTTGGATTTGACGAGTCCCTTTGAGAATTTCCAACAAGAGAGCACGATTGGTACGATTTTCAACTGGAACTTCCTCATTTTCATCATCGTCATCACTTTCATGGTCGTCTTCATCCCTATCATCAACATCCTCAATCTCTTCTCCCCTAGCTCGAGCCTCTTCCAACCTTCGTTGCCTAGGATAAAACCACACATTATTGTAATCCCTTTTTAGCCCCATTGACGCAAGATTGGAGGCAGTGAGAATGTGTCTTAGCCCTGGTTTGACTGCTTCACGACTATCAAGCGGAACCTTCTTAGCCATAAATATGTGAGAGAGAACCATGGGATAATAAAGAGAGACCTTTTTCTTTCTTTTGCATGTAAGAAGGTGATAAAATATAATGTATGCAAGATCAAAGTGCTTACCATTTAAGACACACCAGATAAGAAAGACGTCCATGTGGGAAACTTTGGATCGACTGCCAAATTTGGGAAGAATAGAGTACATGATGATCTTATGAATCAGCCGAGCTTCCATAGTTAATTGTTTGGTGTTGACTTCTCTGGTATTTGTTACATTTGAATCATGACTCATTTGCCGAATAGCCGCGAGTTTATCAAAGCCTTGTCCTTTAAACCAGTTGAAATGAGAATAGAATTGAATTCCATCCACAGAGGGAAGATGAAGGATTCGAGCAATGCTGTTTGTATCAAGGTGAAAATATATTCCAGCCACATAACAGTTAAGTTTTTCTTCTCCAGGCATTTCTTCAAGATGAGTGTAGAATAACTTTATTAATTTTGGATAGTAACCTTCATTCATTCCAACGAATGATCCAAGGCCAATTGCATTAAACAATCTATACGTGTTGAGATGAAGATCATTGCAAATTGTGTCAGACAACACCATTGCTGTGGCCACTTTTCTATGCTGAAAGAATTTGTCATATATGCTTTTGTATGTGGGGTTTTTATATAGCATGGTGGCAGAGATTTGAAGTGGAGGAGGATTTGGTTCACTAGGGCCTGATTCATCATTATGTTGAGTAGATCGTTTTTGTCCACGAGAGGGATTCTTTCTACGTGAGGATGAAGCCGTGGACATTTCGAGAAATTAAACTAAAATTATAGAGGAATTCTCTGAATAAAAATCCAATTTAAAAGGCAATGAAAAAATCAAATCTCAAATAAGTGTAGACAGAAGATTAATAGTAAAACAAATTGAATCAATGGAAAGGCCCAGTCAAAGTTGCACATTTAGTTAGAATTTTGAGGGAAAAATAATTTATCTAGACATGAAGAACCAAAATGGAGGCATACTAGAGGATTCAAATTTAAACTGAAATGGAAGCATATGGAATTTTAACAGGACAGTGCATGGAACAGTCCTAAAATGTTTGCTTGATAAACCAAAAAAAAATTATATAACATGCTCTAGGGATTGAGATATATATAAATTCATCCTAAGAGTAGGAA